TGACCAATATAGATATTTAATAATCAGTACTATAGTTTGATACCTTTATATTTAATACAAACCCATGTTCTTTTTTGCTTAAAAGCGAAGACCCAACTCAGTGTTTGTGTGGCAAAACTCCCAATTACTATGAAGCACATTCTATTAGACTGTCCTGACTTTAATGACTGCAGAAGGCTTTTTTATGAAATGAGCTCACTCAATAAGATATTCAGCAAAGTTTCACCTGGAAAAAGTTTAAAATTATTATCATATATTAATATAAAAATCTTATCTAATTTATGTATTCATTTATATTCATTTGTGTTGGTTTTTAATTGAATATTTATTAATCAAAAGTTTTTGTCATGAAAATAGCCATGTTTGCTGACATGGCATCAAATATAATGCAGCAACACTTAACAACATTGACTATTTCACTTTCATTAGGTCATTGTAAAAGCAAGAAGGTGTTCAAAACATGCCTTACCTAATAGATTTCAGTTATTTTATCAGAATTACGAGTGATGTTTCTTGGTAGACTTGACTATTAAATACCTGCTGATAGAAAGCTGTTTTCAATAATGCTCATTGTGCACTTGGATTGTGATCTCACAATTTTTCAGTAAATCTAATATTACCGAACTGATATCTGTTATGGAAAAACAGATTAATAACATATTTTGAAAAATAAAAATGCTTTTATTTAAGGAAAAAAATACTAAAAACACTATTAACATGATCTGCTCACATCAAAAGATCAAAGTTCTTTGCATCAGATTTAAATACACTAAATAATATCTGTAAATTAGCATTTATCCGTATTTTGTAATTCATGTTTTTATTTTTGTATTTGTTTCCCATTTATTTAAAACTTTGAATTCCATTATGGAATCATTATCCCATGTGCATTCAAACATATATGATATGTATATATTAATATTAGTGCTTTTTCAACAACTTTGAAACTTAAAAAGTTAAAGAAATTGATTTTAATTGACAGTTTTAAGTTTAAAGTGATATATTGTTTGAGTTGGTGTTGTTTATTATGGTACAAACAACCTTGTATTAAAATGCCAGTACATTTTCTGCTATTTTACAGACTTATTTCTATATATATTATTTCTCACACATTATATTATTTCAATGTACTAAATTGTCAATAAAAGTCCCTTTTTTAAATTAGTGTGGAATTTTCAACATCAAGAGTAGAAATCAAGGTCCCATAATGCAATTCTCAACCCTAAATGCACGGAAAACATTTGTTAATCACATAATACAGAAACTGTTAATTAACAAATAATTTTAAAGAGTAATTACCTGTACAATACAATCTTTACAATTAATTATGTATTTTTTAAAAAATGCATTAATGTAATCACAGATATTATTTTAAAAAAAGTTACTGACAAACTAGTGATTAACCGTTATTCAAACCTTATTATTTTCACCAGTGCTGCATTTTTTCTCAGTTGACACTTAGACAGTGCTTTTTTAGGGCCTGGGTGTTATCATACTGTTTACCAGCAACAGAAAACAGTGGGGTAACAGGCACTCCAGCATCCACTACACAACAAATGTTGGAAAACAGTAGTGCTGGTCTTGTCAGAAGGTTATCAGCCTTATATTAAGGTCAATATGACTCTGTCAGACTGTGTCCCACCAGTGTCTCCTGAGGGGCTTGTCACTGTGCCATTACTGTCAGCATGTTAGTGTTCATGTGAGCATGTGTAGGTGTGCCTTTGGGGAAGAGTGTGCTAGGCTGAGGGTGTATTTCAGTCATTCTGACTTCTGTTGTGACATTGAAAAACTTTAAAGGGAAAAGTGAAAATGTAAATTAGAAACTGACTGAGAAGATAGATAGATGTATGAAATAAAGATGTGTTTTCAAAGTGGCTCTAATCCCTTTTTTTATTCATATAATTTTCTTAGTCATGATTTTCCAACTGTGTGTGTACTTGTTTATGTGGTTTATGAGGACACAAAATTGGGTAACACTTTATGATAACAGTACATGAGTAATGATGTGCTAATATGTAAACTAAACATTTCTTTATTAGAAACTAATGATGAGTTCATGCATGTGCTAATCATGAACTGACTCATTTAACTATGAGTCACTGCTCATGCTGTTACTTTATTTACGTGTTAGTACATGATTGTTTGTTAATTAATGTATTAATTACCACATTAGTTTATGCTTAATTTAACCATCATGAACTCATGATATGTTATTGTATAATCATATCATGACTTTACTTGGAGGGGTGCATCATCATTAACCCATTCTTAACTACTCATGAATTCCTTATGCACGTCCAATAGTGCGTTCACTGAATAACAATGGATAAGTATTCGGTCAACATCAACAATTTGAACACAGGAGTTCATGAGTAGTTAAGGATGAGTTAAAGGTGTTGTGTCCCTCCAAGTAAAGTCATGACATAATTATACATTGACTGCTCATGAGTTCATGCTGGTTACATTTAGCTTAAACTTAAATTTTAATTAATACATTAATTAACAACATGTACTAACAAGTGATTAAGGTAGCCATTATTCACACATGAACTCATGTTGTAGTTAAAGTTAGTTCATGATTAGTGTGCTCAACTCAACATTAACTCATAATAAATCAATGTTTAGTTTAAATATTAGTACATCATTTTTTGTGTTCTATTATTGTAAAGTGTTGCCTAAAGTTGTATATCGACATGGGTATTATCTACAGAAGTCAACATTTGAAGTGAATCAAATCATCAAAGTTGTCTTTAAAGTATTAAACAACAATTCTTGTCTTAGGACAAAAAAAAATGTATTCCACTTCAAATATTGACTATTGAAGATGTACTCTATCAAAGTAGTTGATGAGGACATGCTTCGGAAAGCAGTGGAAAAAATTAAGAGAGCATTTTCTCATTTTCTTTAAATTTGTTTGATATGGGATTTAGTTAAACTTTCAAATTAGTTTTCTTCTTTAAATGTCTGATAACTTTTTTCCAAATGTCAAATAAAATATGTTTATTTAGAGCTTTATATCAGAAAAATGACACTTGGTGACATTGTGTTATGAGAATCAGGGTTTTACTGAAGTTAAATCTTGTAGTCTGAAATGATATTAGAATATCTGAAAACATGAAACATCTTGTTTATTTATGCATATTATGTTTTAATATTATGTTTGTTGGATAATTTTTTTATTCAGATTTTTAAATATTTTTTGAAGAAATGCTATTAGTAATTTACAGAATATTAAAAAGTTATGTTCTTCACAACACATAACGTACATAAATCCAAACAAATGCAGAAATTAAATTTTTAATTTTTCCATATCTGTGTATGTATGGATGTATGTGATTGTTTGTACGAAGGATGTGAAAGCGCAATCTAATATGCAGTTCTTAGCATAATTGAGTACAGCCCATTTTGAAGATGAATACTTTTTTCCATTTCACAGTGAATATTGGACATGTATTTTGGTGCATTTAAACAAATTTATCAAACAGATATATTTATTTAAATAAAATTATAGTCATTAAACATATTTAGAAATTGAAAGATAATAAAATTATCAAGCAATTCAAGCAATATATTTCAAACAAATTACAACCTACAACATTTTAGCAAAATTGATTTTTCCTCTTTTTAAAATATGTATTTAATATTTTTATATATCATATAAATTTGGGTGCTCTAGTTTTTAGTCCATTATCGTAAATAATTTTGTTAGTTAAGCTCCAGATTTGGCTTCAGCACTGACTAATCTAATGTATATGTACAAACATAATACTGTAAAGTTTCCTATTAAAAATATGATATAAAAGATAGTGAGGGGTCTACTTATATAATACTGAGCACTGTATAATGTAATTTCAAACTTTTTTGTGAGAACATGAAATATTCACTATCACTGCTGCTTTTTACATGACTGGTAAAACATTATAGCAATTATTTTATGAAATATTCTAACCATAATCTTTGTTTTGTGGTAGCACTTTGCCAAATATTAATGCAGAAAACTGAAAGGTAGTGTTAATGCTCATATTAATTTACAAGCGCAATTTTTACATAGCTAAATGGTTTAACTTCGGGTTCTTATCACCTGGCATGACTAATAGATTCTCCACATGACTTTGAGCTGTGCCCTTTATGAGGAGATGGTAATAAAATTTGATGTAGGAGCCCGAAAGGAGAAAGTTTGGAATCATTTGTGAGTTTGATTGCACATCATTATATAGCAGAGGGTTTTCAACTGAAAACAACATATTTAATAAGTTTATAAGCTTAAAAAAAAAGTTTAAAAGCAATTACTGGCCAGCAAAAACTTTAATTTTATTTAATTGTATTTATTTATTTAAAAAATTTTAATAACATTTTATATTTTAATTTTAAAAATATATTTTTATTTTAACTTTTTATATTATTTTCATTCATTCATTTTCTTGTCGGCTTAGTCCCTTTATTAATTCGGGGTCGCCCCAGCGCATTTTTACGCAGTGGATCCCCTTCCAGCCGCAACCCATCTCTGGGAAACATCCACACATACACACACACACATACACTATGGACAATTTGGCCTACCCAATTCACCTGTACCACATTTGTTTGGACTGTGGGGCAAACCGGATCAACCGGAGGAAACCCACACGAACGCAGGGAGAACATACAAACTCCACACAGAAACGCCAACTGAGCCGAGGTTCGAACCAGCGACCCAGCACCCTTCTGGCTGTGAGGCGACAGCACTACCTACTGCGCCACTGCCTCACCCTTTAATTTTATTTAATTTTATTTTATTTTATTTTATTTTATTTTATTTTATTTTATTTTATTTTATTTTATTTTATTTTATTTTATTTTATTTTATTTTATTTTATTTTATTTTATTTTATTTTATTTTACAAAGCATGGATTTAACATATTCGTTTCAAGATTCTCACTGTGTCCACAGGCAAGGGCTTACGAAAGAGTGAGTCTATGTGTTAAATTAACTGCTGTTTCTTACTCTTTGGCTGATACAGGGTTCGGCGGACCGTCAGGACACAGGGGCCACTGAGGAGAAGGAGAAGAATGCCCAAGTCCAGCTTGATAAGGCCAAGGTACAGTACATTGCAACTCCATAATTCTCTTAGCTACCAGTTTTCTGTTTCCAGTGACGTTGGCCACAAGGACTGAAATATATCACAGTTTTAGATGTGCTCATAAATTTTGCACAGCTCTTTTTCCTCTGTCAAAGTAACAAGGGAGCTGTGTGAGAAAGCTAATTGCCAAATGCCCTGGTTGAAACAGCACATTAGTGTACTGTCTTGTACTCTACAAAATCAATGGTGTACACACACCTGACAAACGATAACTACAATCTTCACTCATACGTCTTCTCCTGTTTCTGATGAGAAGCACTATTGCAAATTGTGAATGAGCAACAACATGCTTGGTTGTTTTATCGTTGTCTCCTTATAGAGTTCAGTTTTTCTAGGCTGTCAAAACTGAATGAAACCCCCTGCCGTTGTCAGTGATCTCCCTCAGGTCTTTTTTAATTAAGGCAGTGAGCAGACAGAATATCACGTCCTGCTCAAGTCTGCTGTCTCTCACAGAAAACAGAATTTTAAAACCAGGCTAAAACAGCTAGATTACCATTGTCATTACCAATGACATCTGATGTTCTTTGAAATTAAATGCCAAATTATAATATAACTTAATATAAATAATTGTTAACATAAAAGTTTATTTAATTATACATTACTGTGTAATAACCAGTACAATCATTTTAAAAATGAAAACTATATTTTTAGAAACTTTTGTTGCATTTACAGAATTTAATGGAATTTGTTTGATAAATTGACAGACAGATTATTGATGAATAAAGAATTAATAAATGGATTCCTAAATAGATAGATGGATGGGTAGGTGGGGTATAAATGCATGGAAGTACTGATTAGATTGCTTGATTATTGATAGCTGGATGGATGGATGGAGAGATGGAAGGATTGATGATTACTAGATGTTAAATGGATGGATGGATGTATGGATAGAAGGATTGATGGATTGCTAGTAATTAAATGGATGGATGGATAGAAAGATTGATGGATTGCTAGATGTTAAATGGATGGATGATGGATGGATGAAAGTATTGATGGATTGCTAGATGTTAAATGGATGGATGGATGATAGATGGATAGAAGGATTGATAGATTGCTACATGTTAAATGGATGGATGAATGCATGGATGATGGATGGATAGAAGGATTGGTGTATTCCTACATGTTAAATGGATGGATGGATAGATGGATGGATGGATGGATGGATAGATGGATGGATGATGGATGGATTGCTAGATGTTAAATGGTTTGGATGGATGGATGGATAGAAGGATTGATTGATTACTATATGTTAAATGGATGGACGATGGATGGATAGAAGGATTGATAAATTGCTAGATGTTAAATGGATGGATGAATGCATGGATGATGGATGGATAGAAGGATTGGTGGATTGCTAGATGTTAAATAGATGGATGGATGGATGATGGATGGAAGGATTAATGGATTACTAGATGTTAAATGGATTGATGGATTGATGTACTGTATGGATGGATAGAAGGATTGATGGATTGCTAGATGTTAGATGGATGGATTGATGGATTGCTAGATGTTAAATGGATTGATGGATGGATGGATGGATGGATGGATGGATGATGGATAGATAGAAGGTTTGATGGAATGCTAGATGTTAGATGGATGGATTGAAGGATTGATGGATTGCTAGATGTTAAATGGATTGTTGGTGGATGGATGGATGGATGGATGGACAGAAAGATGGATGAATTGCTGGATTTTAAATGGATGGATGGATGATGGGTGGATGGAATTATTGATGGATTGCTTGATGTTAAATTGATGGATACATGAACGGAAAGATTTATGAATTGCTAGATGTTAAATGGATAGATGATTGGTTGGGTGGATGTATGCATTTAGGACTGATGTATTGCTAGGGGCTGGATGGATGATAAATGGATGGATGGATGGATGGATGGATGGATAAATGGTTGAATGGATAGATGGATGGATGTATGGATGAAAGTATTGATGGATTGCTAGATGTTGATGCATAGATTATATAAAAAATGGTTGGATGATTTCATAAATATAGATTAATTGGAATGAATAGATGTTAAATATATTTATGATAGATTGACAGATATACAGACAGACAGACACACACACAGACGGACAATTTTACAATTGCCCTTCTGTTCATTTAAGGGCTTGCAAAAGTGTACAAATCAAATCAGATTCCATGACTGTATGTGTGTTACACTGCTGCACTCCATAAAATTATCATTGCAAATTTTTCTGCACTTGAAGGACAAGTTATACTGTGCAAACTGAATTACAATGATCTCATGTGCCTTCAGTTTTATCATATGAATTCAAACCTACGCTGTCCTCAAGCCTCATGCAGCTGCCATGAGACTGCATTACCCTTCACTGGGCTGATATGGAGCTCTTTGAGAATGAATTTGTGCACTGCAATTGGTTTGAAGGTAAATGAATGAAAGCTATTATTAGTACCTTGCCTGGGGCAATGCAGCACATGTGCCGTTCAAATCAGCAGCATTTCAGTTCCAGCACTTTCCTCAAAGTATCTGTCTGCTGCCATTCACACATGCTCCCTCATACACAACCTCATGGGTGGATTTATAAATATTCTCAAACATACTAAACTACTGGTTGAGAAGCTCAGAATACTCTCAAGTTTTGCATAGCACTTCTATACTTCCACAGTACAGTCTTAACCCAAACAGAATTTACTAGAAAATTGCATGGGGAATAGTTGCCTTAAATAACGCCATTTTTTCCAGCCTTAGTTAAGTTAATCTACAGTAAACTTAAGTCTAGCAGTATTCATTGTTGTTCTATATTAATTCAACTAGGGCTGTTTAGTTTCACCTTGTGTTTCACCATTTAAGTCAATTAGCGCAACAGATTTTCTCAATTTTATAGTAAAGTCAACTAATTGGCCTAATAGTGTACATACCATTTGAATTCTATTAAATGTCTTTGCTTATTTTATCCAAAAAGTTATGAGTAATAAGAATGTATTTATACTTGTTTAATAAAATAATTCCTGAAAACCTTTTATCTGTTTATGCAAGAAGTCAAATGCAGGCATCTGGTGTTTTTGCTGCTTTCAGTAGTTTGTTGTTGTTGTTGTTGTTCTGTTACCGATTTCACCTTATGGATGATTCAGGTAAAAAAAAAAAAAAACGAGTTGTGCTTAGTAGTACATGGTTAGAAAAGGTGACAAATAGATAGATAACATAATCCGAACATCTTTGGCTGCAGTATTTCTGGCTCATGTTGTTTGGTGTTATCTTTCTTTTTTCTCTCCATTATTCAGTATAAACCAGTTGCTTTTGCTGTGCGCACAAACTTCACCTACACTCCTGCAGACGATGACAACGTCCCCATACCAGGACACGGAGTTTCATTTGAAGCTAAAGACTTCCTGCATATCAAAGAGGTCAGTGTGTTTACAGATCATCTGCACAAAGGCCCTCTCGCACAGTAATTTTGTTTAGTTATTTAACTAATTTTCACAACCAAAAGGCTATCCCGACCCATGTTTTTTAAAATAAAATCATGATTACAAGACTTTTTTTAGTTTATGCCATATGCTCTGTGATTAGCTAGAGTAGTTTAGCCTTTGCACGCACTACAAAATCATATACCGATTAAATTGAACTCTTGAAAATACCACAGCATCTGTTGTTGCCCTGCAATGTACATTATTTTATTTGGTAGACACTTTCATACAATGCATTTGTAAATTCAGCATGTACACTACCTGACAAATCAGCAAATAATCATTTGACTTCTAGTTGATCCGTTGGTGTCAGAAGTGGCTTATATGAAAGGCAAAGGCCTCTAGATTACGCTTATTTTAACTAAATAAAACTTGATTATGGCGACGCAGTGGCGCAGTAGTTAGTGCTGTCTGAAGTATGAGAAGGAGCGCGATCCTGCTAATAAATTTGTCCTCTCCTGTGGTTTGTAAAGTAATGGGCAGAACAAATGTCTTGATACATTCCCCCATACTGTGTGTAACCCCAAACTATGATTTTTCCTTCACAAAACTTGACTGATTCTAGAGAATCTTGGGTCTATGTGGGTTCCAGTAGGTCTTCTGCGGTATTTGTGATGATCAGGATTCAGTTCAACAGATGATTTATCTGAAAAATCTACCTTCTGCCACTTTTACAAATCTTGTACTTTTTTGTTGTTCTTAAAACAGGGATTAACGACAAGACTTTTGTCAAGTAGTGTATGACTAGTCCCAGATAATCTAACAGTATATGAATGAAGATGAAAATGTTTTTGTTTTTATTAAATAGAAAAAAATGACTGACTAGGAAGTGGCAATAATAACAGCTCAAGTCTTGACAAAAAATGCTCTTTAGCCATTTATTAAAATGACTCTTGCAGAGAATTGTCAATGTAAGTTTATGATTGAAGTTTGGACAAACTGGGCATTTCTACCAACATTAGTTCAGTTGTTCAGTAATATTTAGCAATTAAATTTCATTATTCATTAGGTATTTTATTTTATCGCATCATGTCACAAACTTAAAGTTGGGAATGGATGCTTAAACAGAAAAATCACAGAAAAATTCTAAAAATGTTATTAATTACTCACCCGCATGTCATTCCAATCCCCTGAGACCTTCTTTCATCTTCAGAACACAAATTAAGATAAAGAAATTAAGAAAATTGGATTCTTCTCCTTAGTGTCAGTACAGAGTGCACAGCACTGTTATGTCTATGTGTGTTGCACTGCTGCTGACGTATTGCCTTGGATGCACCTGTGCTTTGTTTTAAACAGAGGATGTCATGTGCAGGCAACCACGTGTTAATGATGCTTTTTGGTACCTTTCAAAACACGAATGAGCTTTTGAGATTTCATCTGAAAAATCTTAATTTGTATTCTGAAAATAAACAAATGTTTCCTGGTTTAGAACAACACAATGATGAGTAATTAATCACACACTTTTTTAATTTTGAGTAAAATATCTCTTCAGTCAAACTGACTTAATAGGTTGAGGTTGAATAGACTAAATGGACTGAATAGATATGGGTAACATATTGGTAACAAAGTTAATATTGGTATTATAACTTTTAATGGACATCTGCAAATGCAGTGAGAACCAACATGGCTGTGACCTTGGGATTTTTTCACAGACCCTATTGACCGTATTGTTCAATGCGGAAGGGCGTTTGTTTTTGCAATTGTTTTAGAACTTCTGATTTAGTTACATATGGGAGAAATGACTAGGAATAATAAACGGCTGAAAACGGTCAAACAACTCGCTCTATAAACAAGTGTTTGCATGATTATACAGACAAAAAAATATATACTAAGAAAATATCAGTTTGCAACATCAAGCAGCAAAACAAGCTGTTTTAAACATGTGAAAATGAATGGAAGTTAATAAGACCGGAATTCTCTAGCCAGAAAGATTGAAATGGTTGCGCCCGCTCGTGCACGGAGATCAGAGTGAATAACTCTCTATTGACAGCAAACTCAGACAAAAGAAGGCTGCCTTCAGTTTTACTCACTTATTAACAATCTCTTTTGTATTATGATTGGACATTATAACCATTACAGTAAGTGCTGCTCATTAGGTTGAGTCTAACTCATTGTCATATTGCACCTTTTTATTTAATTATACGTTTTAAAGGGAAGATGACACTGAACAACACACATAAAGTTTCTATAGAAGGGCAGTTATTATACGGCAGTATCCAATAGAGCCACAGTGATGATAAATGGAACAGAAAGTCTAGCATTTTTACATAGAAAAAACACTTTTACTGTAAGCAGCTCAGTCAGAGCTTTATGACTCAAAGCAGATTTCTTACCTCAGCACATCTTCTTGCATGTGCTCTTCCCAGCAACAATCCTATTTCTTATACACACATAGAATTGGTTTAATAGTAATGTTACAATTTACAAGTTACAATAAAAGTAGGTTTTGTTCACTTAAAGTGATAATTCGACCAAAATTTTAAACTCTGTCATCATTTACTCACCCTTCAGTTGTTCAAAACCTATTTACATTTCTTTTTTCTGTTGAACACAAAGAAGATATTTTGAAAAATGGTTACTATGGAAGTAGATGGGTCATTTCAACCAATATTCTTCAAAATATCTTCAACAGAAGAAAAACTCATAGGTTTAAAACAACTTGAGGGAGAGTAAACGATGAGGTAATTTTCATTTTAGGCTGAACCAACTCTTAATTGGTAAATTTATAAAATTAATATAATTTACCAGTATGTTTGAATGTGCTAATTCAGTGTCTCTCAACCATGTTCATGGAAGACCACCAGCGCTGCATGTTTTGAATGTATCCTTTGTCTGTTACACCCATTACAGGTCTTTCAGTCTCTGCTAATGAGTTGATAATCTGAATCAGGTGTGTTTGGTTAAGGAGACATAGAATATGTGTAACATGGTTGAGAAACACGGTGCTAATTGATATATTAATTTAAGTCAAATGAATGCCAATACAGTCAGGATGTGTTTTTAATTGTAACAAGAAATTATTTACACGCACATTAAATCATTTAGTATTTGGTTTGAACCTAATCAAGTCAGCATTGTTGTTGTTTACAGAAGTTTAACAATGACTGGTGGATTGGACGGCCTGTAAAGGAAGGGGGAGAGGTTGGTTTTATCCCCAGCCCGGTAAACCTGGAGACTATTCTGATCAGGAGAGAGGTGCAGGCCAGGAAAGCCGCCAAAGCACTGGCCAAGTAAACAAAACGCATTAATAATGCAGTGTGGGATCTTAATTTTGTGTCTTTGTGTCGTTATTGTAAGAATCAGCCAAATTAAAGTATACACTGCGACATCATTCATTATGTACAAATGGCCTTTTCTCTCATTACAGCAAAGCAGCTAGTGCTGCCAAAGATGATTTGAATGCAAAGAAAGCGGCTCCGCCACAAACAGGTTCGCTGACATTATGTATTATCATTTGTTATTTATTTAAAATAACTCAATTCAGAGTGTGTCATGGACACATTTGCATATGAATGCTTTTCCTTTGATAATTTATTCATGATCTGCCATCAACTAATCTGAATAAAACACAATAATATTGAAACATATGCTATTATTGTTAATATATTTTTATCTGTATGCATTTTCATGCTTTACACATCTTTTTTTTTTTTTTTTTACATTTTTAACCTTTAGTTCAGCAAGTAAAGAAGAAATCGGTGAGCATATAAATACCAACATCAACACATACACACATTTATCTCATATATTTATAGATTATCTGTTTACCGAAGTTTTTTCACCACATTTCTTTGATTGCAGGGAGAGCAATTGGCTGCATATGATGTTGTGCCTTCCATGCGTCCTGTGGTGCTCATGGGGCCTTCACTTAAGGGCTATGAGGTGAGGAAGATTTTCTGCTGCAATTTAAGTCATCCACGATGGTTTTGAAGCTTTGAATGAGCAAGTGGATCATGTACAATTTTTTTTTGTCTTAACATAAAAAAGAATAGTATTATTCCTAATTTATATTGTAGATGCAGTATTTTCCAGAATGTAAGTCACATATTTTATTATATGAAACTTGCTGTAAATTATTTTCCACTGACTTACAGTTAGTAATGCATCGCTATTCTCTCTCTCTCTCTCTCTCTCTCTCTCTCTCTCTCTCTCTCTCTCTCTCTCTCTCTCTCTCTCTCTCTCTCTCTCTCTCTCTCTCTCTCTGTTTTTTTTTTTCAAAATAGCAATTTTGACTCTGTTTGACTTATAATCAGATTCAGCTTATTTTCTGGAAAATACTATAATGTGTCTCTTACATCAGAACCTGTGGATTATGTACTTAGCCTCTCATATTCCACATTTATGGTATATGAATGTGTACTGCCCTCTACTGTACATTACTAAAATTACACTGTTTTAAAGTCAGCATTATTATAGAATGACATATTTCCCCTTTTTACTTTTATTCCCAGGTTACGGACATGATGCAAAAAGCTCTGTTTGATTATTTAAAACACAGATTTGAAGGAAGGTATGGCACAGGATTAAATAATCAATGGACTACTGATTTATTTTTACAAATGACCATTTACTATTATGATGATTGTGTGCAGTCATGCAAAGTGTTTTGAGTTTTCTAACGTGCAAATCCATCATTAGAATAACTATCACCCGAGTGACTGCGGATATTGCACTTGCCAAGCGGTCGATCCTCAACAACCCCAGCAAACACGCCATAATGGATCGCTCCAACACCCGCACCAATTTAGGTAATCATAATTAATGTCCAATTGTCTTTGTGTCGTTCTATACTATTCTAGATCTTTATGGTGCTCTGCAAATAACTATAGTAAAGATAGCTTTCTTAATCAGAAGTTTTGGCCTTTCAGGACCAATGTCACATTTAGATATAGTTATGTTATTTTCTTGAGAAATACTGATAAATGTTAAATCTTCCTTTCAGAATCAATACATCTATATATATATATATTATATAATTCACTGTCAATTTTCTTTTCTTATTTTAAGGGTAAACCCTAACTTATTGAGGTTTTTGAAGTAAATAAATTAACGAAGTACAATTTCTTTTTTTTTTTTATATATACTTATACATACTTATAATTTTATAATTGATATTATGATTATGTGCAAACAGGCCATAATATCTTACTTTTTTTTGCAAGTACATGTTTTTGGTTGATTTGTTTTTTGCTTAATTATTGACAAACAAGGCAAAAATACTGATTAATAGAACAAATTTGCAGCATGTTTAGAGGAAAAAGTTATGCCACTAACAGAGAAGCTCTCTTCTTGTAAATTAAATTTTTTGCTATACAGAAAAGTTGGGCAACACTTTATTTTAGTGCCCCTGTTACATGTTAAATGTACTTACTAAAGCAAAAAAAAAAATAATTCATACAAAATTGCATGCAGTATATATTGTACTAGGGTGACCAGACCTTCTGTTCTTTCTCAGACAGTCAAATAGCTCTATTCAGCTATTTCAGCTCTATTTTTAGTGTGCCATAGAAAAAAATCATGTTTTTCATCTATCCTAAAATAGAAATAACAAATAAATATCCTAAAAGAGTATTCTTCAATAACATTGTTGTCTATTTTAAAGAAAATAATTACCATTCAATTTCAATAACAATCTGGCATCAGAATGTGTCATATATGACAGAATATAACTAACAAGCTACTACTCAGTGCTTACTTTTTTTGTAAAAAAAAAAAAAAAACAAAACAAAATATTATATTGTAACAAAGACTCCATAAATAACGTGTTCCCAAAAGATTTTCCTCCCAATGTTATTATTAAACATACACTACCGGTGAAATGTTTGGGGTCAGTAGGGTTTTTAAATGTCTTAAAATAAACTTATCCTGCTCACCAAGGCTGCATTTATTTAATCAAAAATACAGTACAAATTGTAAACTTGTGAAATGTTATCGCACTTTGGAATAACTTTTCAGAAGTAGTTTATAATTTAATTTAATCATTTATTCCAGTGATTTTAAATATGAATATTCAGCTTCATTACTCCAGTCACATGATCCTTCAGAAATCACTCTAATATTAATTATTATTATTATTATTATTAATAATATTATTGATAATAGTAATAAAAGCAATAATGACTGAACTAATAATTAATTAAATTGAAAGTAATGAATAAAAATTTACTAGATAAGTTTTTAACAATTTTACTTTTTTTTTTTTTACATTTTAATAAATGTGTTAGAAAAATTATTTTCTTGATGAAGAGAACAATTTTTTTAATAAAAAAACAACAACATGAAAAAAACAACAACTTTTGACCGGTAGTGCATGTTTAGCATCAGTGGGTGAGTTTTTACACAGGTGTTGATCTGAGGTGTTTAGTTAGCTTTGTTAAGGGGATCTGATTGGTTTTCTCCACTCTGTTCCTCACATTGCTGTATCTCAGATGCCGCGGGTATGTATTACAGCAGTAGCCTGTCCACATTCCCCAACTCATTCCTGTTGGTGTCATCAGAGCCACTTTACCTCTTAGAAAACACCATAAGTGTCAAAGAACCCCGAGACTTTTACTCCTAAAAGCTTCGGCTTGTGTTAGAAACCATAACCATGGAAATCTCCATTGATCTTCATTTGTGTATCCTTTTGTTCAAAAATGCTAGCCAAAGTGTTTAATGTACGGGTAATTTGGTCTTGTTTTTCAGAAAAATATCAAAGCATTCTTAAATGTAGGTTAACATTAGTTAGTATTAGTTATATTCCGTTCATAACAATGGATTTTTAACAAAATTTTTATGTTTTGATGTTTTTAATGAAAAACAATATAATAGTGACTTAGAAAAATATTCTTGCAGTGTGTTGTGGAAGATGGTGTTGAACTCTTTTGTCCTGTTTTTTATGATTAAATTTTGAGGATTTAAACCTTCATTGTTCTGTTACTTCCTGTAGACAAGGAACTGTCCGTCAGCATATTTTGATCATCACTATTTTCAATGACATATTGCATGACCTCGCTATGGAATGTGTTTAGTACTGAGAACGGGACTTTCATTTTATGCTTTTTTAATTGTATCATGTTGAGAAAAAGAGCAAAAACACATTTGTTTCTTTATTGTTGTATTGGATTTGGATTGGACATAAAAAAGCTTTCCATTTTGTTTTAAAAACATATATTTTACTTTGATAGAATTTTATTTTAAGATGCTGCCTGGAAACCTGGATAATAGGTTGACTAGCCTCACTTATTTCTTTATCTGCCCTTACAGCTCAAATCCAAGGAGAGGTTGAGAGGATTTTTGAGTTAGCACGCAGTCTACAGCTTGTGGTTCTGGATGCTGACACTATTAACCACCCTCTTCAACTAAGCAAGACCTCCTTGGCCCCGATCCTGGTGTATGTCAAGATTTCATCCCCCAAGGTCAGAAACATTGTTCACAGAACTCACAGACATAACCATCATTTATTACGTTGAAGAATTAATGAGACTGATGCTTACATAGGATTTATTCTTTAATATCATAAATACAGTAAAAAAAGTAAGATTCTAATTCCAGAAAGCTTGTTTTTATCTTAGATTTAACCCTGATACAGTTTAAAGGTGGACTGTATTACCTTTATTCATTCATTAATTCATTTTCTTGTCGGCTTAGTCCCTTTATTAATTCGGGGTCGCCACAGCGGAATGAACCGCCAGCTTATCCAGCACGTTTTTACGCAGCGGATGCCCTTCCAGCCACAACCCATCTCTGGGAAAATCATCTTTATTGCTTTTATCATATTTTTACATACTGTATATGCGCACATTTTTTTTTAGGATTCTTTAATATATATAGAAATTCTTTGTAACATTTAAAAATTCCTTTGCTGTCATTATTATAGGATCTACACTAATTAACATTGTAACCCTTGTGTATTGACTATCCTTTCGTTATGTTCCTAGCTGATTTTTTCCCATTTATTTCCATTATTCCATTATAACATATCGTTTTTGATTGCAAAGCCATAGAACTGTAATCATGGATTCTTGATTGTTGGTGGTTTTCCCTGTTGGGAATTGGTACAATTTGTCATTTTTCTTTTCATTTTCACCAACACAAAATCTGGTTATAATGGAACCCACATAGCAAAATTTCTCTGGCCCACACAATCAGGTTTTGCTTGGCCATGAATTACAGTACATGACTGAACCAAGGGCCAAATATGGATCATATCTGGGTCAAGTCTCAGCCAAGTTAATAACTCTTAACTGGGCCTAAACTGGGCCAGATCGGTTGGTGTGTCACGATTGCAATGAAATTGATAAATCCATGAAGCATTGCGCTTTAGGCACACTATGGGCATGTTTTTTCTCAAAGCAACCAGATTGGTAGATTAGTTTTTCTTTACTCAAAAATAAATTAAATGTATTTTAAATGTGGGTCAAGACAGGACAAACTTACGTGGCCCATATATCAATTATTAACACATAATACTATGTGCCACCTTAAAGCACTAACCTCTGCCAAATCCAGGCCATGTTTGGCTCACATGCTGTATGCCAGTGCCGGAAGAATGCCTGCTGTGCCAGCTTTATGCCAAATCTGGGCCAGAATTCTTTTCTACCTGGGGGGTCAATAGACCAAAAACAATCACGAACATAGAACGAAAGGGTAGTAAATTTGCCCAGAGTGTATTGTTGAGTTTATGAAAAATTCTAAAGCATTTTCCCAAAATATATGTCAAAATAAGATTTATCACACAAAAAAATCATTCTATTTGCTGAAACACAGAAACATTTGTGGCCAGTTTTAACCACAAAATGAAATAATGTTTGTATCAATGCATTTTGTTCATTGCAGTTGTACTGAAGAAATTACATGACAATACAACCATTATAAAAATGCTTGTATTGGTTTTTACTGACATGTGTATTGATAATCATTCATATTCTCAGCTACACAAATATGCAAAAAAATGCCTTATTCAAAGTGAGAACTGATGTTCAAAAACGGTTCAATCCAACCTAGTCTTACTGCAGTTAGTCATCAGAAAGAGTAATTCAGAGTTAACCAGTTCTAGCTGCCTGATACCGTTTGATTTATTTCCTTCTGTTAAATCCAATACACCTATAGTGTAATCTGATAAAAGGTATTTTATTAAATAAAAAAAGTAAGCCGGAAAGAAACAAGATTATTCTGTCAGTGATATCTGATATGGTACTACTGTACTGCTTATCAGCTTGTTTGCTAAACCTGTGGCTTTTCGGATAACCTCAAGTGTCTTTTTATCCATTTACTTTTAAAGTGCCCCACATCATTTATCTCGATAAATATCAGTCATGTGAATTAGATCCATCTGTCTGGGCTGCAAACAGACATCATACAGCCGTTACACTTACATAGGAAAAGCTCATTTGACAGAAGAGCGGTTGCGCAAACACACTATCCTTTCTCTTGTTCCCCAGCATGACCTAACGTCCAATGTTCTTTCACCCCCTGTTCCTCCCACTCATCCTTCCTGTGCCTTTTTCCTTCCTCTTTTCATCTGCTGTTCAGGTTCTCACAAGATTGATAAAGACCAGGGGCAAATCTCAGACTAAACATTTGAATGTCCAGATGGTGGCTGCAGACAAGCTAGCCCAGTGTCCCAATGTAAGTTCGTCCTCCATATACTAAAGATATCAAAGTGTTTTCTGTATGATTCAGGTAAATATTAATTAAAAATAAGGTTTGTTAGTGTTATACTAGAGATTTACTGACTGCAATTCAACAATTCTGTTAAAGATTTTTAAGTGGCAAAGCCACCACTATTACTTAATAACCGTTGACAAAAAAGTCATTTGAATGGATCCCAAAATAAAGTCAAGATAAACTTTGATTTGGGCTGTTTTGAAATCATTTTTCATTGAAGTATATCAGGGCATTTACACAACAGAGATGATATCAATATTTAGGATACATTTTTTTTTATAAACATGTGCTCTTTCACTTTTTTCACTTCACTTTTGTATTTTTGTCAATGAGACTCGTGCTGTGTACAGTACAAAATATCACAATATTATACAATTAATACACTCACCGGCCACTTTATTAGGTACACCTTACTAGTACTGGATTTCATCCACGTTTGCCTTCAGAACTGCTTAAGTCATTCGGGGCATAAATTCAACAAGTTACTGAATCATACCTCAGAGATTTTGGTCTATATTGACATGATAGCATCATGCAGTTGCTGCAGATTTGTCGGCTGCACATCCATGATGCGAATTTCCCGTTCCACCACATCCCAAAAATGGTCTATTAGATTGAGAACTGGTGACTGTGGAGGGCATTTGAGTACAGTGAACTCATTGCCATGTTCAAGAAACTGGTCTGAGATGATTCATGCTTTATGACATTGTCCAGCTGGAAGTAGCAACCAGAAGATGGGTACACTGTGGTCATAAAGGGATGGACATGGTCAGCAGCAATACCCAGCTTGGCTGTGACATTGACACTATGTTTAAATGGTACTAATGGGCCCAAAGTGTTGCAAGAAAAAATCCCGTAGACCATTACACCACCACCGCCTCGGCCTGAACCGTTGATACAAGGCAGGATGAATCCATGCTTTCATGTTGTTGAATGTGGTAGCAGAAATCAAAACTCATCAGACCAGGCAACATTTTTCCAGTTTTATACTGTCCAATTTCGTTGAGCCTGTGCGAATTGTAGCCTCAGTTTCCTGTTCTTAGCTGGCAGGTGTGGCACCTGGTGTGGTCTTCTGCTGCTGTAGCCCATCTACCTCAAGGTTGGATGTGTTGTGCATTCAGAGATGCTCTTCTGCCTACCTCGGTTGTAGCGAGTGGTTATTTGAGTTACTTTTGCCTTTCTATCAGCTCGAACCAGTCTGGCCGTTTTGCTTTGACCTCTGGCTTCAACAAAGCATTTGCACCCACAGAACTGTCGCTCACGGGATATTTTCTTATATTTGGACCTTTCTCTGTAAACTCTAGAAATGGTTGTGTTTGAAAATCCCAGTAGAGCAGCATTTTCTGAAATACTCAGACCAACCCATCTGGCACCCGCTACCATGTCACGATCAAAGTCACTTAATTCACCTTTCTTCCCCATTCTGATGCTCGGCTTGAACTGCAGCAGGTCGTCTTGACCATGACTACATGCCTAAATGCATTAAGTTTCTGCCATATGATTGGTCGATTAGAAATTTGCATTAACGAGCAGTTGGACAGTTGTACCTAATAAAGTGGCAGATGAGTGTATATGATAATGACAAAATTAGACACTGTTTGCTTGCTGAATCTATTTTTACATCTTTAATGGCCTCCTTTTAACACTTTCCTTAGTAATCTAAGCTGGTGGGCCTAGTAATCACAAACTGATCTGATTATGAAGAGGCTGTCCTTTTTACCGTTTCATGTTGCACAGCACCTATAAGGCAGTTGTTGACTTATATTAGCCAGTTGTATTTTAACTGTGCTATTAGTTTATTTTAATGTTGTTTGCTGTGATGTCATCACAGGAGATGTTTGATGTCATCTTGGACGAGAACCAGCTGTCAGATGCCTGTGAACACATTGCTGATTACCTGGAGGCCTATTGGAGAGCCACACACCCTCCGGAAATGGAGCCTCCAAACCCCATGCTGGAGAAACTGGCAGAAAACACACTCCCCACCAGCCCCACACCTGCTAAGGTACTGGATGCTCATTTTTAGAAAAACACTGAGATTGAGCAAACACTGTACAGAGTCAGCAGATTTCTAGGAGAAAAGCAAACTAACTTTAATAAAACTCAACACCAAGGAAAGTGTTCAGGACTGTCCCATTTAAAAGTTTGAGGTTTGGAAGGTTCTATTTAATCAAAAATACAGTAGTTATTGTGAAATAGTATTACAATCTAAATTAAGTCAGAATTCCTTTTGTTATTATAAGGACAATATTTGAATATTATAATTATAGTTAATATGTTATAAACTTAATCTTTGTAGATACATAAAAGTGTTTTATTATTTTTATGATTGGTACTGTATGTTCAAAAGAACATAATTCATTACACAAATAAATCTTTTTGACATTGTAAGTGTCTACTTATTATACATTTTTATTTCCACCACATCTCCTATTATGTATTGTTTTTAATAGCATTCTGTGGTTGGAAATGACAATGTAACTTTGCTTTTGATATTAAATAGTGACTCTTTTGCTTAAACTCATTTTAAGACTCATTGCTAGCTTCATAAAAGCACTCAATAAAATAATCTTTCCATACTTTTCACATAATTTAACAATAACTGTTTGCTGCCCATTTTTCCATTCCATTTTTCTTAGAAATATTGCTTCACTGAAACAGTTTTTATCTTAGTAACCTAGTGTTTTCAAAACTTTTTTTTAAAGGTTTTGTCTTCTTATATAAGCAAGTCTTAAATTATGACTGCTTGGAAACATCTGCAGGCTCTATAAATTGTGGGTAGTGGTGTGTCATTTTGTGACCTTTTCAATTTCCTCCCCAACTCTTACTAAACTCTCTTGGACATTTAAAGAAGACTTGAACTTAAAGGACCTCTGGTAAGTGGGAAGATGGTGGTTCCTGAGGTAAAATACCTATAGTGTTAGTACCTACTAGTTTGTACTACTTCTTCATACCCATAGTATTAGCTATAATATATTAGATGTTGTAAATGAACCGTATAGTATGACAATAACCCATCTGTAGTGTAGCTTCATAAAAGGAATTACTTAGGGATTTGTGATAGTTGGTGTATTTAACGATTGGTGACTGGCTCTTTTATTTTGAACGTGGACAATATCCTTTCTATAGTAATCTTCAATTAGTCCACATTTTGTTCATTCTTAAGTAATACAGTACAGTAAAACAAAAAAGTAACCCTAAAATGTATTATTTTTTATAAGCCAAAAGAGATCGTTTGAGTATCAATATACATTTTATGCTAAAAATTAAAGATCATGTTCTATGATGACTTTGTTTGAATTTCTTCTCATAGTTCTAAAAAACTTCATATTGGATTTGTTACTTTGAACACCTTAAAGGCATTTTTCTTAATATTTAGCTTTTTTTTACTCTCAGATTCCAGATTTTCAAATATTTGTATCTCAGACGGTATTACCCGATTAATGGAAAGCTTATTTATTTAGCTTCCGTGCAATGACTTTTTTGAATTTTTTGGAATTCTGGCTTTATTTGGTGCAGCATGAATGTGTACCAAACAAATACAGTGTTGTTTTAACCAGTGCATGTGTGGAACCTAAAGGAAGAGTTCACCCCAAAATGAAAATCTACCTATTATTTACTCTCCGAAATCTACAAAAACAGAGAGTTTCAGCATACTTATTTTTCAGCCTCTTTCTGTTCTAAAATACACCAGAGCTAAAAGTGATAGTTCACCCAAAAATGAAAATGTATTCACTATTTACTCACCCACAAGTTTTTGTAAGCCTCATTGACACTACAAGTGACTTGCAGCGGTAAACCAACAAGCAACAAGCTCATTTTGCATGGAGAGTAAACGACTTCCGGCGACCTCCATCTACGCAAGCGACAGCAACCATTGGCAACCATAAATATACACACTAAATATCACATATGGACCCTAAGCATGCGTCAGTACTGCCGCCATATTGGTAAAGTGTAAAAGTCAATCAACCGCACTAGTCAAGACTGAAGCCAATTTGAATATGCTGAACTTTAGTAGTATGTAGTATCTAGCCAAAAAAGCATAAAGGCAGAAGATTTTCTTTTTTATGTTTTTGTGTTACGAATTGCTAAACAAGTACCGTTATTGATGATAATACAGTCTCTTACTGCACTGACCATAAGGTAAAGTAGCACCAACTCGCATTAAATATGAAGCTTATGCTACTTTAGTTTAATAAAATCAGCAAACAATGGAAATGAAATATGACAACAAGATGCTGCAGTGCCAGAAACTTGTATTATTGTCGACTAAGTGAACGAGTCGTCAATAACGGAAATTCATTCACAAACGAATCGCTCCCTCAATTGGAATTAGAAATTAGAGGGTCAATTTGAGGGAGTGTGTTTTAGGACATGGATTAGATCAAATTTAACAGGGAGGGAGGATAATACATTTCCATGCACTCGAACACATGCTCTTTGTGGGCAATGCCTGTGCGATCACTTATCCATTGATATAGAAAAATGATGTAAAATTCTACTTATCGTAATGCAAATATAAATATTTGTATACGGACCATCGGGAAAACTTCCGATCATATATATATATATATGTATACTCCACTGCACCTTGGCCCCACATTAATTTCAAAGAAGCGCTACCCTGTACTGAAATGGCGGCTCTATTGATGCATTCCTTCCAATAGACAACAATAGCGTAGGTGACATTTAATGTAAATATCTATGAGAATCCTTCAACTTTATGCAAACGAAGAGCAACTTTTTTTGAGAGACAGCCAATAGGAGCATCAGTAGAGCTCAAGTGATCATCTCTCAGCTTGCTCAGAGGCTGGTTGTATTCTCAGTGCTGTAGACCTACACAGACCAGTGTTTGCAGCAGGTCGCCACCCAGGAGTGCGTTTCTGAAAACCATTGTTAGCCAATTAAGGTTGCAAGTTCCGTCATTACAAACGTAGCTAGTTGATTTGGCATTTGTCAAATCCATCATTCCAACGAACATTCGCAAACTTCTGCGCTTGAAACTACACCTCTGGAGCTGTAGTTAGAAACATAGTTCCTTTCTGTGTTCTATTCACACTTAACCCCCCCAAAAACTAATAATGTTTTTTTTTTTCTAATGTGCGTAGTGTAAAACAATGTAATTTGCACAAAGAAATTATGGGGTTCTTCTCTAAAGAATTTGTTATCAACCCGTTTAGAGCATCATTATGGGTGTTTTACGTTATAACTAAAATGTTTCAAACGATGGGTTTGAGGAACACTCGTCACTACATCGTTCTTTTCCCAAATGATGAATCATACTATGATAGTTCAGCCTTGAGATACATTGTTGTTTGGGAAACTGCCCAGAGTGATAGGCAGCTACAAAGTTGCTGCTAGTGTGAATGAGGCATTATGAGTTTCTTCCACACAAAAAAAAAGATATTTTGAGGAAAGCTGAAAACCTGTAACCACTAAATTACATAGAAGGAAAAAACAACTATGAAAGTCAAGTCAGGTTTCTCTGAATATCTTCTTTAAGAAATAAACTAAATCAGGTTTGTTAAAAGTAAAGGGACAGTAAATAATGACAGAACTTCCATTTTTAGGTGAACTATCCCTTTAATAGACAGACCAGATTCAGCAAACCTCTGATTTTAATCTAACTGTCCTATATCCCATCCACAGGACGAACAGAAAAGCAAGAAAACGGCCGCCACCAAAAGAAAAGGATCTCTAGAGCACCAGCAGGAGCATCAGCCCCAAGCTCAGGAGACGAGAGAAGAGGAAGATGAGGAGGAAGAAGAGGAAGTGCAAGAGGAGGCTGAGGAGGAGGAGAGGCTTCTTCGCAGTGAGCCAAAGAGACACAGCCATCATCATCACCACCACCATCATCATCACAACCGCTCGGGCACCAGCCGACCGCCTGAGACCCAGAACAAACACCAGCAGCACATGCGCCAACCACAGCCTGCCGACATGGAGCTACTCCCCGCTAGAAACACTTCATACGCTTCAGAACCCCGGAGCAGGCGCATGATCCCTGGTGAAGGTGACCCGGACCAAACCGAGGTCTACCAAAACAGGACTACAACTCAAAGGGACCATAATCACCAACATCACAACCATCACCATCGCCATCACCACCACCGGCGCGGCACCACAGACGCTCAGCCAGAATATTCCCATCACGGGCAGCAGGATTATGAGCTGGAGCACAATGAGCACAACAGGCAACAGAGACCGCAAAGCCATCTGCGCTCGCACCATTACACTCATCCACACCACAATCACTACCACTACCAGCGGGACAGAGAGAGGGACAGGGGTGTGGAGACGGAGGAGTGGACTGAAGACATGTACATTCATCGCTGAGATGGACCTTGTTTTTAATGCTGCTATGTGAAATGCTGGCTACCGTGTACTCAGGACAACATGGTTTCTCTTTCTTTATTTGTTCTTCCCCTGCCTCTTTTCGGTCAACACACATTTGGAGTCGTTCATTTGTGTAATTCTGTGTTCATCTGGCATTATAGTGTACTTGTCTTGATCTCATGCCTGTGACTACCTTTTTGAAATGTTTTATTCGCATTTGATTCAGTTATGAGTATGTGCTTACATCTTTGCTCATTATTTCTCCTGTTTTTGATGGTCATACATAGTATATACACCTTTTGTGACACTGATATGCAAACTGTTCATGACAATTAACTGCTCGGTTCTTATCCACCTTTCTTTATTGCCCCTGAGAAAGATATCTAACATTTACATTCGTTTTCAAAAATTGCTCTTTGGAGGGACATCAATCTTTTGCTACTCCAGTAGGTCACAAAATATATGAGGTAATAATTTGTTGCAAAATGGTAATAACAAATAACCTTTACTGAGAGGCAGCCTTTGTAATTTGGAGGCCTTCCTCATTTCCGAAAACTTATATTAGTTTTTACAGCTTTATTATGTAATATATAAAGGGGTCATGAACTGGGAATTCCACAAATCTTTTCACATAAAAGACGTAGAACATTAAAATGTATTTCATAAGTTCACACTCACAGATATTTGACGGAGTAGAATATGCATATTTGGCGTGCTGTCCGGGGAGAAGACCCTGAGCTCGGGAAGACACCCTAACTCGTGTTATTCCCCTTATCAGGATGAAGACAGATAGGGTCCGAGCGCAGTGTCTAGCCTGGCTCCAGAATGCTCTCCCTCAGATTTAAGTAGGTATCTGGTTTAATAGTGTGGAGCTGGGGTGGTGGAGGGACCTGAGGTCAAGAGAAAACGGAGGTATGACGTTTTTGACTATTTATAGGGGTTTGGTCTTGAGCTGATTGGATAATAGAATGACTGTGTGTGATGAATTAGCCTCGTCAAAGACTGCTCCTCCTGAAATTTGTTTATAAAACACTTAGTATTATAAATCATTGCTGTTTTTGCCACACATGATCACCAGCAGAAGAACCTGAAGTGGTAGACTAAACCTGAAGTGGCATAATAAAAGCTTTGCTGCTTTCGTGACTTGTCTGTCTTTAGTAATTGCTTCATCCTAATTTTGCTTTGATGACTTTCACTCTGCTTCATACTACCCTTAAAATACATAAGCTCGTCCTTAAAAATGATCTCTGCAGGAGTCCCGTAGGATGTAATGAAGACCACAACTCTCATGATGCCACACAGAGTCTTTTCTGAAAAGGGTATATGCAGAGCTAGAGTTTCTTCCCAAACTGATAAATTTCCGGTAAACGGTAAATGTGATTTTTTTTTCAATTTTTATACGGTTCCTTTTACAACATCGATGCTGTAATTTAATTAAAATACAATCAGTTAAATAGACTTCAGCATTCATTTAGTTGCACAAAGCGAAAAACGAGATGAAAAGCCGTTTACACGCACGCGGCCACCAGGATTTGCAGGCTAGTGCAAAAGCTCCATTGAATATACTGGGGTAAAATAAATGTTCATATTTTAAAGACATGGCGGGGAAAGTTATGCTTCATGTACATTCAGAGACCCACTTTATATCGGATATCACTGAGCCAGTGAAGATTGTTTTTTTTAAAAAAGAAAACAGACCTTAAACGAGCCAATTTTGTAACGGCATACAGTTAACCGGAAGCGTTTGACCAAGGTTACTGAAAAAAAATAAAAGTCCTTCCGCATACTGTGTCTTTAAAGTTTTAGAATTTAAAATGTCTTAATCTAAAAACAGTTTATATTTAGGCCAACACGACTTGTTGTGGAATGTAGGCCTACATATTTATGATCTAATAATAATGCAGCTGGACTTCGTCTCTGTAGATCCACATCTGCTTTCCTCTTTAGCTCCGCCCACCGAGTTGCGCTTTCACAGGTAACGTTAGCGATGCAAACGCAGGTCTACGCAGAAATCAAAAGGTAAACGTTGTTCAGTGCCACAACATGTTCTTTTGTCTCCATACGAATACCAGTACAGCTGTAGGAAAGTGTGGATGACCTTTAATGAAACTAATATCCGCATCGCACTCAGTAGGCTATGTCCTTTTATCCTGAAATTGTTTACAAACTAGGCACAATTCGTCGCTGGATTTTCAGAAAGACTGACAGTTGGATGATTATGTGCAGGTTATATTGGACCTAATGTCACACCACAAAGATGTGAGCACAGCTGTTTTGTGTGTTTTTAGTATTGCTTTGTCTTTTACAGATGTAAGTTATACGTGTCAAACGATCTAATATTGTAACCTAAATCACAGGAGTCCATTTATTAAGGAAGCCCGCCAAACATACACGCTAAATTTTACTTAGATGAGCACAAAGCTCTTCTATTTAGGCTACTTTACCTTTTAAAAAAGTTTCTAAATGGGTTCATCTGTTAGCCAGTTACAGCAGTAGAATCAAAATAGCTGGAACAAAAAGCCTGCTGCTTCTAAATTATTTTTTGTATAGACATGTTGATAATGCGCCTAGTATTAAATTAATAGGGCAGTTCATGACCCCTTTAAATGTTATAATTTACTCAAAGTCTGTTTATAACCTACCACTAGCTGGGCATTATATGAAACCCTAATGAAATGAAATATATATTTTTAATATGAAGCATCTGCCAGTTGGGGGCGGCAAACCATTAGTCGTAGATTTAATTCATAAAAAAAAACAGCTCTTATGAAATTCAAAATGTTATTTGCAGACATGTTATTGGAAAAATAACTCTCTTGCTTGTTTATTGAATAAATAGATCCCAATTTAAGGCATTAAAACAGCAACTAATGCAGACATTTTTTCTTCAGTTTTGAGACATTGTTGAAATTTAAAGGCCACATTTGCTTTTCCTCAAAGAAAATCTCATGAGCTTCACATGTAAAACAAACATGGCTTTTTAAAATTGAAAACATCTCATTTTGATGTGACATCTCTCCGTTATGGATGTGACAGATGTGAAATTGCCACTTGTGTGACTTTGGTAAATCAAATAGAATAGTTTGAAAACATTGACAAATACGTTTTTGAGTATTTCTAAACTTCTGTAAGATACTTGCTTACACAAAAAACTTAGAAGTGTTTTTTTCATGGCAAGGTTGACGGTTGCATTGAATATCTTTTAATTATTTACCAATAGCATCCAATGAATCAGAAGTTTTACACATTCAGAAAAATAAGGTTGATACTATTGTATTGATTCTCCAATTTTAGCCTAAAACACTAAGAATAAAAAATGCAGTTTTATTGAACTGACGTGTGTGTGTGCATATATGCACATTTTAAATCTGGCAGCAACCATGGTTCAACCAATGATTTGAGTTTTGGGGCAGGACTATTTACAGTATTTATTTATTTTATTTTTGCAATTTCATTTGCTGATAAAGAGCATTTACAAACTTTTCCGCCTACTTCATTGTCCATAATGTGACACATTTCAGATGGACACAGAAAAAGTGTTAAGAGTAAAAACAAAAGCGTGATTTTTATTTGCACATTTTAGGAGCAATGTAAAGGTCTACATGCTTTTGTAGATTGAGACAGACAGCACTTAAGATATTCAATTTCCTGTTTATTAATAAACAATCATTTGTGTCAATACAAAGACCACAATCATGTAAATCAACTCTCGAGCCATATTATGTGTACTTTGCTCATGCAAAGTTATTGCAAATGAACACTGTTGATGTTTTAGGTTCTGTATTTCCATATTAATAATATATACAACGTGATCATTTTTAGCCAACCATATGCATGTATTTATGATTTTCAGAATGTTTATTGAAATATGTACAATCCTGTATGTATGATTTTTTTTTTTTACTTTTATCTTCATAAAGTTAAAAGACACACAAATATACTGACAAAAATAGGTACAATACTTGTTTCATTACAACAGCATGGTAAATGTTTTGTTTTCACTTTTGTTGAAACTGTTAATCAGAAGATGGCAATATCATATCCTCAATGCATCTGAAACAATATCTTTTATTTACATTTGATACCTGTATGTTTCCTGAGTACTCTATGCATTAGTTTGTGGCAACACTATAGCTTGAAAATTGTTTCTATGCATTTGTATATACCTCATAAATGCCTTTGTAGATATTGGATTAATGAATCAGTACAGATACTGCTGCACTGTAATATAGATGTTCTTTCTGTATTCAGTTGATCTGACTGTATATTGTTGTTATTGAAATGCTCTCCTAAACCAATAATGCACACATCACATTTATCAGTTGGTGATTTTCGGAATCGTTCCCACACAAAATCCCCTATTCTGTATTCATTATGGATTAGTCATAGAATATGAATATATAAAGAACTTTTGGAGTGTTCATTTACAGTATAAATATAACATTTGCACAAGTCTCTCCAAATGCTAACTCTGTCAGCTTTCAAGTGTCAGCTGACCTTACATCCACAATTTTTTGGCACAAAAAAAGTTGACATTGTTTCCTTCCTTAAAACTTTTTGCATTGTGAGTGTTAATCCAGTCAATGCAAATATACCATAGTGTAAAAACTGAAGGTTATTAGAGACATTTATTTTTGAACTTTAACATTTAATAACAAAGTCTGATGTTCAAAAGCTTTTGGAGAAAATAATTAAAACCAGCAATTGTAGTATGATATGATTAGTCAGTTGCACCATTGTGTAGTCAGATTTTATTATTATTTATTTGATCATAATGACTTTTAAACTAATTAAAGGGGATCCATTATGCAAAAATCACCTTTATAAGGGGTTTAAACAGTTGTGTGGCGACTGTGTGAATATAACCCGTTTCTAATGGTGAAAAATAACTTTAATTTTTCTAATCACACTTCAAAAAGTTCTACACAAATACTTTGATTGACATTCTCCCTTTGTACATGAAGTGGAAAGCCCCGCCTATTAATGATGATGTCTCCCTCATTAGCGTAAGAAGTTAGTCCTGTTTTTGAATCTGCCACTATGCTGACACGAAGGCATTTGTAGCTCTGCACTCTTTTGAAAAGAGGGCTAGGAGCACAATCTCATTTCAATTTAAAGCAACAGTCACCAAAATAGCACAGTTAGGATCAAAGCCTAGAAGGGGCAGTAATAAATCATTATTGGTGAGGTATTTTGGGTAAAACTTCACATACACGCTCTAGAGACATCAGAGACTTATTTTAAATCTTGTAAAGAGGGGCATAATAGGTCCCTCTTTAAATGACAACTGATTTATATGGCTACGTTCCTTTTCTAACCAAATCAATTATTTATTTGGCAAGTAGCCATGTAAAAGAAGTAGGGAGCCGATATCACAAAATAAACTTGATGATCCCTGCCATTGTTTATTTTATGATACTGGCCAGATGACTACATGTACAGGTCTATTCTGCAACCTCAAGCAATGATTTGTTATCTTTATCTGAATAAGCAGACTCTGCGTTATTATACATGGGATTTTCAAATGTAGGCAGGAAGCGATGTTGTGACCTTCTGTAGTAAACATAGGCTAGAGCTCCAAGTATGGCAATCACTGCAATAGTCAAGAATACAGCCAATCCAGTTTTAACCCTATGAGGTTTAATATCTGTGGAAAAAAAATGAAAGATGAAATTAATTAGAGAAAGAAATCTAGTGTAAAAACTGCAATACAATCATCACTGCAGCTTTATCATAATACTTAAGTTGTTATAAGTCTTAGATACAGTGCGGTGGAAGCGTATCAGATTTTTCAAATGTATTTGATCAACCCAAATAAAAGTTAGAAATAAATAATCATGTTACCTTGATGTGGGGACTTAATAGTTGGGCTCATCACTGTGGGAAATAGAAAGAAAAATTAGGCTTTTTATAAGAAACAGGTTGTGTATGATTATACAAAGCATAACCTTGGAAGTATAGATAAAAGATCCTTGTATTTGTGAATTTAGAATTTTTGCAGTTGCAAGATATTAAATCAGAAATTTAAACGTGGAACTTCAAAACGTATTGTCAATTGTAGCACAGCCTATTCATTTGTATATACAATATGTGAAATAATATTGTCATTTTAGCTATGAACTCATAATCAGTAAAAAAAGGTTACCATTTCTGTCAGTTGTGAGATGTGTACCAAGAAGAATATAGGACTATAAAATATAAATGTAATGAAAACAATTATAATTTTATATTTTTATAAAAAATATAATTACTTATGATTTGTGTCCTCTCCAAATTACAATTTTATCTCTCAGATAAAAAAGCAGCATCATGAGATATACAGGAGTCAACATTTGAAGTGGATAAGAAAAGTTTTTCAAAACTTTTCCTGAAACGAGAATGTATGTTGTTCAATAGTTTTAGGACAACCTTGATTTAACTGAAGTTTATTTATAAACTAATTTCGAGAGGATCACATACTTATGATTGCTTGCAGCTGGCCCCAAATCATTCAATTTATGATTCACCAATCAGATGATTCCTAAGCCACTATAAATACCATTAGTTCCATATAACAGCCATCTTTGTTATGAAGAATCTCCACTTCTATGGAACAAAATCAATGGCAAAAGTATTGAAGTAAAAAGCTTGTTGAATAGAACAAATTAAAAAATATTTCACCGATTTAACAAGTTCTTGCATTATAATGACTTGAATTTCAGGGTTTGTATTTTGACGTCCTGAAATTTAACATATCTGGTTATTTAAGCTGTGAATATTTTAACAAAAATATTTCAAACACGTGTTCGTACTTGTGATTCAATAATTCATATTCAATTTCCAGATTTCACTTACAAAATATTCAATACCCTTTTAAAATATAACATATAATATTCAAGTCTTTTTTCAGCTCATTTTATTTCAGTTCAAATATTCACTTCCATAAATTCATTGGCTCAAATTCGACTGTTGAAATGTAACATTACAAATTGCATTCAAAAAAAGATTTTTCCTGCTTTGTTTAAACTGCTTATTTAAAAATCTGTTTTATGTTTAATCCACTTAAATTTGTAAAAACAATGAAGTTCCTGTAATTGATCTGACAACATGAAGGAATTGTGTATAACTCAGCATTTTTTACACTGTGTATACTGAATTGGGAGGGGGAGAGAATGTAGGTCACTTATTATTATTATTATTATTATTATTATTATTATTATTATTATTATTATATTGTGTGTTCTGTGTTTACTACACTAACTAAGCTTTTTCATTTAAAGAGGATATTAAAATTTTCTACCACTACTGGCAAGACTACAATATACATTTGAGCATTTGTTATATAAGGGAGTCATACAAACAAAATGTCATATTTACTGAACCTGCATTTTTCACAGCATACTTATATTTTAAATGTATTATAGGTTATATTTAATTGCCATGTTTCCTTTTTAATAGAAAACATATATTGGCTTAAAAACATTAAATAAACCATTATTTACAAATATACTTATAATGAAAAGTAATAATGAAATAATTTAATGAAAAGAAATAATGTAATGAAAACTGAAAAGACAAATTCACCCCATAAGGACAGTCTTTTATTTAGTCTTTTATTTAGTCTTTTATGTTACTTGAAAGTCACTTCAAAGATTTAACTTACTGTAGTTTTTCAAACATTAGTTACTGACTGTACAGTGCTCGGCATAAATGGGGTGTCCATTTTGATAATGAATATTTGTTTTATCCATTTCTCAGTGAATATAGGCAATGTATTTTGGTGCATTTAAACAAAAAACATTTATTAAACAGATATATTTATTAAAATTAAATTTTAGTCACCAAATATATTTAAAAAATTAAAAGATAATACAATAAATTCAAGAAAAATCAAAATGAGATATTTTTGCTTCTCTTGATTTTTTTTTCCTCTTTTTTTTTAATTTGTAATATTTTTCTATAACATAAATTAAGGTGTACTAGATTTTGGATCGTAAGTAATGTTTTCAGATAAACTCCAGATTTGGCTTTAGTACTGATTAATCTAATGTATATGCACAAATATAATATTGCATAGCTTCCTATTAAAAATATGAATTTAAAAGATAGATGTATGAGGGGTGTACTTATATATGCTGAGCACTGTATGAGACCACCACTTCTAGTATATGAAAGATGCTGGAGTTAAAATGCATACTGTACCTTTGGCGGTTTTGCAGATGAACGGTAAAACTGTGTAATCACAGTGGCGTTTTTTCCAATTTTTAGACGTGGCAGAGATAAATGCGCAGTCAGGATTATAAGAAAATTCTTCATAGTCACCATCGGTCTCAGTTAGTGCCCAGTTAGTGTAATCTACCACACTGTTGTCTGCCCATAACCAGTGTCCTGTGTAGTTAAATAACCAGGGTGAGTTCAGATGTTACAAAGCTTTAAAAATTAACCAATTATTAGTGTGAAAAAAAAATCCGTATGCAAGTAGCAATATTTGATGAATATTACATTGTTATCTACCTTTATGGTTGTGTAACAATCCAATCCAAAATTCTTTATAACTTTCAAGGAGCAAGAGGTTGCTTTCTATAAACTTCTCCTCCGCTTCATCTCTGATGCTGGCAAGAGAAGCTCCTGATGAGGGGGAAAAAAACATTACAGATTTGTTCTTTGCATCTGTTGGTGCAATCTGCTTTTAAAATCAACTAATTGTCCTTACCCCATGTCATACAAAGTCTTGCTGCTCTGCTCCATGATTTCATTTCTGTCACAAAAGCATAGCAGCTGTCTCTGAAAGGTATCCACCTCAGGGGACTGTAATTTTCTTGCTTTGGACAGTGTCCGGGCTGCTGTGCTGGAAGGGTTGGCGGAATGTCTGTGGGGAGGGTCATGTGAATTCTATTATTTGTAATATAATTATATATTGTTATTATACATTATCTGATAAAGCTGATGAAAATGGTAAGCAATGGACTACTGTAATAGTTTTCACCAATTTCACCTTTTCTCTAAGTACTTATTTACCTACAAAATCTGAACACTGCATGAAGTCAGGTTTACAATTTTCTTTTTATAATTCAGAAAAATTTACGAATCGTACCAGAAAAATATTACTTTCTTGAATAAGAAAGTTATCCATTTGTATTTACAGTAGATATCTTAGGCTGGCATATTTTTGTTCAGCTTAAAAGGTCCCCAATATGTATGTTTAAAGCAAAGAAAGGCATCGTTCAGAGTGTGTTCATACACAATTGACACAATTTGTTTTGCCTGGTATGTTTGGTACTGACCAAAACAGCATAATAAGACACAGCTGGTGCTGGTTTTCTTAGCCTTTACATTGTCAGTATTTAATGATTTACAAGATACATTTAAATATATTTTACATTTAACGATACAAAAAATTATATATTTTTTGCAAATATGGGTTGACTTCCTTTCTTTGTGACAAGATGTGAAACTCACTCTCAGTTTGTAACTTATCTTACCCGTTGTTTGCTCACAGACACTGTAGAAGGTTTCATTGCATAGAGACGTTTTCCATTCTCCATTTATTTTCATGTGTGCACAAGGTTTGTTGGGCCTAGGTTCAGCTATCGCCCATTTCTCCATGGTCATTGGCCATTTATTCACCCACAGAAAATATCCATTTGACTGTGAATTAATGAAAATATTTAATGTGTAGGTTATGATTAGTCATCAGTATAGCTCAGGTAAAAAATTTAGAGAAAACCTCAATAAGAACATGTTTTCAGTATAAAAAAACGGGTCCCACTTTATATGAAATGTCCTTAACTAATATGTACTTACATCAAAAAATAAATACAATGTACTTGATGTGTTCATAATATATTACAAAACACTTCTGATGCTCTTGAGGTGGCATAAAGGTAGGGTTAGGGACAGGTTTTGTGATCTGGGCAGGTTTAAGGGTGGGATAAGGTGTAAAAGATTGACCACCAGTGTAATTACAAATGTAATTACAGAAATTAATTACAAATGCAAGTATTTCATCAAGCATAAGTACAATGCAAAACATGTATTTACACAACAAGTACATTGTATTGAATTATTAATTTCAGTGTAAGTACATGTTACACTGAAAAAAAGTGTTGCATGCAGAACTGTTGCAAACAATTTATTTGTGTTGAATTTAAACAAACAAATTAAGTTTAATAATGTTCAACTAAATTTGTTTGTTTAAATTCAGCCCAAATAAATTGTTTACAATCACTTAACATAAAAAAATTGAGTAAATCCAAGGAGTCATCTTTGATAAATTTTTTTCAGTGTAGTTAAGGCCACTTAATATAAAGTGGGATCTGAATATTTGATAACCTTAGTAATCATTAACTTAGATTGTGTGGCCTGTGCATTCTACCAAACATCTCCTTTTGTGTTCTACAGTTTAAAGTTTCTCAAGAGGGTGACCTTTCTTTTTTTAGAAGAATTATTCCTATAAACTGATTTACTCCATTTTCTTTATTGCAGTACCTGTTCACTGTTGAGACCAATCCACATAGGCTGCTTGAGTCTGAAGACCTGCAACTCAATGTAAGCTTGTGATATCAAGTCCCGAATACTGGCCAGATGACCCCCTTCTGCCTTACAGCGACGATTTGCCTCAATCCACGTTAGGTTTTCTTGAATCACTTTGAAAGATGAATTTCCAAGCTTGACAAAGGTTTTAGGAATCTCAGTTGGCACTGAGGGGATACCTGGATCTGAACATGTAAAAGAAAAAGTGATTTTAGCATGATAAGATGAATGTTAAAAGTCTGCAAGAGATTTCTCTACAAGACTGCAGGTTTAGCCAAACTTACCAACATCACGACTGCAAATGAAGCCATTAGTAGAATTACAGTCGTCTGCCACCCACTTGCTAAAGTGAGATCCTGAACTCCTGCCCATAAAAACACATTCCTGTTTAGGAAAAACAAAAACAAAAAACAATATAAGACTTTATTGCAAAAAAGCCCCAAAACAATTGTTTTTAGACAAATCATCAGTTTTTCACAGTACCGGCTCGTCCGAAAAGTATTTTGTCCAGTAGTATGAACGTGACTGTAAGAAAAAGTAATTATGTTCAGTCTACAAGTTAAATTCATTAAGCTGAAAATGTTCAAAAATGATAAAAATATGCCCATACTAAGGAATGAGGTTCCCCTTCAGCCCACTCTGTGAATGAAACTTTACTCCCATCTGTCCACTTGAACCTTCCATTTGCCAGATTGCTGAATCCAATCCAAAAGTTAGTGGATTTATCTCGAATCATTGTGCTTAAAAATGCTGCAAAAGATGGATGAATATAATGAAAGGTAAAACAAATCTAAGGAAAAGAGGGGGGAGGAAGTGACTAAAAACCAGGGTTAATTATTAGACTAATCCTGGGTATTCATAACCCTTGGTTAATTTCCTTATTTGCATATTTGTTGTGTTTTCTTATACAGTTCAGCAATTTGCGTCCTTATATATTTCCAGCTGTACTATTAAAGGGAAATTTCACCAAGAAAATTCTGTCACCATTTATTCATCCTCCCCTTGTTCCAAACGTGTTTCAGTTTCTTTTTGCTGTTGAACAGTAAAGGAGGTGTTTTGAAGAATGTTGGTAAAATGATAGCCGTTAAACTCCATAGTATCTTTTTCATTCTGGATGTAAATTCCAACTGGTTTCCAACATTTTTTTTTCTGTTTCTTTTGTGTTCAACAGAGAAAAGAAAGTTGAACCACTTAATAATAATTTTAAGTGAACTTTCCCTTTAAGTTGTATCCTGGCTTATCAGGCTAAATATAATGTAAATCATCTTTATAATTCTGTTTCAACTTTCACAAGAAAGAGTTTACTCTAGAAAATATTAAAAATAATAAACAATTTTCTCATGCAGGAAATGGCATATTAACACATCTCATTTATTTTGATGGATACTGCAAAATGGATTGCAAGGCTGTTATAGGATTATTTATGAAAGGCACTTGTAATCCTAGCTCATTATGCTTTCCTAAATGATATAGGCACAGACATTCCCTGTCCCAAGCTCAGTCTCTTCGGTATGGTTCGTTTGTTGGTTAATGACAACCAAAGGGGAATATTAATAACAGAACTGTGATTGGTCATATCACTTGTCTTACTGCATATGCAGCATTCAATCAGATATTTGACCTTTTTCCTTACAAACAAACACTGATACATACAATATTTGGTGATCTTGTGACTATATAATATATGAATGTGAAGCAAATTACTTGCTAAACATCTAACCTTTGTAATACAGCATTGTTTTACACCTATACGATTTTAGGCACTGCACTGGGGAGCAGGTTTTCACAACCTCTTGGGTTCTAAGTTTGCTTCTAAAATTCAATCTTTTCTTTGAGTTTTAGAATCTTAAATTCAAAAAAAAAAATTGTCATAGTGTCACATTTTCAATCTCAATAAACTGAATCCTAATATTATTTAGTAAATCGACACATTGACCTTGCTTTGGGCTGTAATGAAATGTCATCGAATTGAACAAAGACAAAACTCTTACTTTGCTGGAATTTGCTCATAATAGCTGTCAGATCTCCACCATGTTCTCTGCAGTATTCTCTTGCTTCGCTCCATTTTTTCATTTCCCCCCTCACATTGTAGCACTGTAACAAGTTATATAAAGATTACTATTGCTTTTCTAAAACAATAGTGATAAAACACTAGACAAACACTGCATCTGTTATAGCAGTCAACAACAGAGCTTATTTGAATTTTGTCATGAAACATTTATTTGATGGAGCTTCAGTGCTCAACACATACAAGTAGACGCCTCACAAATCTATTTTAAATTCATATTTTCAATAGGAAGCTATACAGTATTATATTTGTGCATATACATTAAATAAGTCAGTACTGAAGCCAAATCTGGAAGTTATCTAATAAAATAACTTACAATAATGGTCCAAAAACTAGCACACCCAAATTTATATGTTATAGAAAAATAATAAATACAAATTCAAAAAAGAGGAAAAATCAAGAGAAGCAAAACTATTGAAAAATAAAGTTTTTAAATTTTGTAGGTTGTAATTTATTTTGCAACATTTTACTCAGTATCTTTCAATTTCTAAATATGTTTGGTGATTAAAATATTATTTTAATAAATATATCTGTTTAATAAATCTGTTTTGTTTAAATATTCACTGAGAAATGAATAAAAATATTCTTCTTCAAAATGGGTCTACTTAAATATGCTGAGCACTGTATAAATCATATCCATCCCTCTAAACCTTTAATGAGACTGAAGAGAGCAAACCTAAAAACAACTGCACGTGTTAAGTTGCTTGTATTAGTATTTTTACGTTCTTGTTTTTAAAAATGTGTATAATTACCTTTCCCTCGAACTGTGTCCACTCAGGCGCACAGCCTCCTTTTGGTGGCTGTGTAGGGGCCACAGTAGCATTAACTGGGGGAGCCTCACTTCGCTTGCAAAAATAATTATATTCATCACCACAGTTGACGGTTTCCCAGAGTCCTGCAACAGTCAAATTGTTCTCATGACTTTTTGTATATTTAACAAATAAACAAATCTCCTGCACCATGAGTGATTTGTACGTTGTACACATCAAAAAAAAAAATTCTCAGCATTTTTCCACATCACAAACAAATTAATAAAACATGCTGCATTTTCTCACAACACAAAAACTATGGAACACGACGAAAATATTTCAAGGGGACCCAAAATGTGATGGATGCCGCTGTGCCATGATTGTGCTCAGTGAAGTTGATCTTTGTAAGGTGAGTTTTTTTTTTTTTTTGATAATTTTAATATACCGATACCCATGTATTTATGATAATAACCATAACTTGAATAGCCAGGTCTGTCACATTTTAGGGTTCCCTTAAAACATTTCCGTTGTGTTGTGAGAAAATGCAGCGTGTTTTTGTAAAATGTTTGCATTATGAGAAAATGCAGTGCTTTTTATTAATTTGCGTTATTAAAGTGCATGTTTTCTTAAATTGCACCACGTTGGCCTCTCTGTCACCGTAGATTTGACCATACACAACAGCTTAAAACAGTCCTCCAAACCAAATACATTTTTAGTTTTCATTTCTAATCTCTTAGATCAGACATACCTTGAGATATGGTCATCTTTGCGCACCTTTCCTCACTGTTTTTAAAGGCAGGTTGATTTGCTTCCCAAGCTTGAAACACAACAGGAGACCCATCCATCCACCTTTATATATATAAAAAAAAAATGTATTTGTCCTTCAAAAAAAGAACACATAGGTGCTGTTTGCCTTCATTAAACTTACTGGAAAGATCCATCCAGATCAACCGTCAAGCCAATGAGAAAATCGTTGTACAACTCTTTAGACTGCAACACACAGAAAAAACAAAAACACTGCAGTGAGACATGTTTCTGAAAAGTCAGTAAATAGCATGCATATAGGATCTATTCAATATAGTATTGCGTAATGTGCTCTGCATTACCTTATGCCAGAGGAACAGTCGCTCCTCCTCATCGTTGATGACTACAAGATCGCCATGATTTCTTTTACAGAACGCCCGTGCTTCATGCATAGACATCGCTGAGTACTCGGACCCATAATACTGGCTACCTCTGAATTCAATCCAGCCATCCTCTGTTACATTATAAACTTAAACATAAAAGAAAAAACTCAGTTTTAAAGCTACCTTGTAAAAATAAAATAATTAAAAAAAAAAAGTTAAATCCAGATCATGCTGAAGAAAGTGGAATGCTTACCTGGTTCTGTAATATTCACCTCAACTGGAGTCTTTCCTAAAGAGAGGGCGTAGTTGGTTTATTATCATGTATTAAACAAAAATGAAAAAAATTTAGTTTGAAGACTGAGACCTTTCTCCATTTACCTTTGTGGATCTGACAGTACCAGTCCTTCTTGTCTTTACAGTTCACGTCATTCCACATCCCATCATCGTCCCACAGCGACACTCTCATTTCAACACAATTTTCCATGTTGTTTAGGTTGTTTGGTTCATCGCTGGCCCAGCTTTGATAGGACGACTAAAAGAAAGTATATTTTGAAAATGTGATTATGCTATTTAAAAAAAAAAACTTAATGAATTTGATTGTTTTCTTTATTGTGAACTCACCGAAGAGCCGTCACTCCAAACGTAACCCACAGAGGGATCATACATTCTGTAACCAATCCAAGATGGATACCCTCTACAAAAAAAAAACCTTTTTAAAAAACTTTTGTATTCATCTGTTTCTGTCCTGAGATTTTTCTTCAAATCCACCATATACTGTACATGACCTTCAGTGGTGCAAAGTAATGGCAGTTAATATAAAACACAAAAAGTTAGTCTCTCTCTAATAACTGCATTAACAGTGTCTTAAGCCTGAAATTGCAGGTTTGGGGTCAAATAATAAAAAGTTAGACCTATAAACAATGTTTTATGGGAAAATAATCTGACAAATGTCTTAAAATAAATCCTCTGAAAAGTGTCTTTGAATGTGGTTGGAGAATAAGCAGAATAACTGTTAAAAGGCTTTGTAAGTTAAGATTTTGATAAAATTTTCAGTAAATACGAACAATATATGTATATATACACTCCCTGACAAAAGTTATGTCGTCTATCCAAGTTTTAGAAACAACAAATAATAACTTGACTTCTAGTTGATCATAAGGCATCAGAAGTGGCTTAAATGAAAGGCAAAGGTCTCTAGATTGTGCTTATTTTACCAGAACAAAATATGATCATGCCTTGATGATCTTTAATGCTTTAATTAGGACTGTAAGGTCTGACTTTGCTTAGACAAAAGTCTTGTCACTTAACAGAAATAATGTACAGTATAGAATATAAATTCTTGGTGCAGTGGAAAAGAATTAATATTGTGTATGACTCCCTTGAGCTTGGAGAACTGCATCCATACATTTCTGCACTTACTTAAATAACTTATTACAAAAGTCATCTGGAATGGCAAAGTAAGCGTTCTTGCAGGACTCATAGTGTTCATCAAAATTCTTTGGATTCATCTTCAATGCCTCCTCCATCTTACCCCAGACATGCTCAATAATGTTGATCTCTGGTGATTGGGCTGGCCAATCCTGGAGCACCTTGACCTTCTTTGCCTTCAGGAACTTTGATGTGGAGGCTGAAGTATGAGAAGGAGTGCTACCCTGCTGATGAATTTGCCCTCTCCTTTGGTTTGTAATGTAATGGGCAGCACAAATGTCTTGATACCTCAGGCTGTTTATGTTCCCATCCACTCTGCAGATCTCTCGCATGCCCTCTTACTGAACGTAACCTCAAATATTTCCTTCACCAAACTTGACAGATTTCTGTGAGAATCCTGGGTCTAAGCGGGTTCCAATAGGTCTTCTGCAGTATTTGTGATGAGAATGCAGTTCAACAGATGATCCATTGGAAAAAATCTACCTTCTGCCACTTCTTGATCAACTAGAAGTCAATTTATTATTTGTTGCTCTTACAACCGAGATCGACGACAAGACTTTTGTCAGGTAGTGTATGAATACAATATATACTGCTGGATTTGAACAAATAATATTTTTATTCATCAACGCATGTGATCACCCAATATATGGATGATAAGTATAATAATACATTTAATTCAAATAGGGTATTGCAAATAAAAAAAAATATAAAATCCAACAAATGTAAGAAAAATAAATATGGTTCAGAAATTCATTAGCTGGGTATTTTTCATTATGCAAAAGGAGTAATCTGTATTACCCTCCTTGTTTCCAGGGAATATCAGATTCATGATGGATGCTCAGGAGGTCACCACCGAGTTCTCTGCAGTAGTCCAGGGCTTGATCCCATGTTTTCATTTGCAGTGAAGGTACATTGAAATGCTGCAAAAAAAGGGAAGGGAGTTGTCATGAAAAGTTCTATGATGTTTTATGTGTTAAAGTAACAAATTTATCTCAAATCCATTTTACCTTGACACAGAGGTCTCTTGTCCCAATTGAAGTCCATTCTGTGGGACAGTCCAGGGAAGGGGTGGTTGGCGGGGCTGCGGTTGTTACTAGAGCATCAGCTCTTTGCTTGCAGATGTATTTTTCCTTATTTGAACAGCTAAGCACATCCCAAAGCCCAGCAACTATTCCAGTCGTCATTGCAACACAGCCTTGTTTTCTTCCTAAAAGTGTTTTTTTATATAGTAAAATTTGACAATGTAAAATTCCATCTTCCATTAATTTATAAGAATCCTCTTCAATCTATTGTCATAATGTTTTTAACATAATACCTGGCATCCCAGAGTTGAAGTGAGTGAATGGGACTTGCTTAGTGTTGGTCCACTCAAAAGTGTGTACGTCCTTCTGATTAGACAGTCCAATCCAGAAGTACTTCTCTGGTCGTGCTCCTACTAGATTAACCAGGAATGCATTTTCTACTCTAATGGTTGCAAATGAAAAGATTATGTATTAGAAAAATTGTTTTATTACTAAATTTGATATAGGTTTTGCTTACACTTCATTTTGATGGTTCTGTGTTTTGACTTTGCAAATATACAAACTACAAAGGTAATTACAAAGCTAATTGTAGCAACTAGTAATTCTATTTGGAGGACCATCAAGTGTTGGCAGATATTGTGAAGACCATTTACTAATGCTCTAATGACAGATAGTTTAGACACTGTGTTATGAATAATTTTGGTCTGTTATATCACAAGAGGAAGACATATTTCCATTAACACCTGATATTTTAATCCATGTCTTGTCCACTTTTAACCACTTTCTTGATTTTTTTGAGGGAAGGGCCTATGGGCTTTTTTTTTTTAGAAACCAATATTGATGATTACTTATTAAAAACAGGGTGGAAATGAGCAGCATGTCTTTTGAATAATCCAATAATTTATCAGACCAAAAAAAAAAAATTATATATATATATAAAATCAGACTTGATTATCATCTTGATAATATCAGACTTGAGTCTAATATGTACAAAATGTCAGATGTATGTCGGGAAAACAACTGATTAGTTTGGGCTAAAACATCTTGGACAGTAAAAGAAACAGACTGTACTTGTAGTGAGACAATATTTTTCTGAAGCAGCAAAGTGTAAAATGTACATATAACAATATCACTAGTTTTATTTAGATTTCCATATGTCAATTAAAGTGTAAAAGTTGAATGGTAAATGGGTCCAATTCATGTTCAGTAATACTGTATGCAATTGACCAATTAATTGATCAGTATTGGTATTTCGCTCATTTTTTTTGTTAAAATCATTCTCAAAAAGTCCTATCAATCCTGCATCCCTACTTTCATGCAGTTGAATGCTAATGAAGACGACAGAAAATGATATTAAGAGCAGCAGTTTTTATTTCTACTCTGATAACCACAAAACTACACTGAACTGAACTGAGTGTTCGTGTTAGAACCTGTGCCGGACCGGCTGGGATTATTTCACCTTAAATTTCACCTTTAAGACAAACTTACAATTTCAGACAGAAAAGTCTAAATCCCTTGTGGCTAGTGTGCTAAAACAACACACCCCAATGAAGTGTAAGTATTAAGTCAGTAGGGAGTAATTGGTCCTCTGTGCTTATTTAAATGCATTAAAGTACATTAACATTTACACTATGAAAACAATCTAGTTGTATTTTCTTATTTTAATACCAGGCATATACAGCTGTGGTTTCAATTTAGTTACAATTTAGTTCAAAAGAGACCATCAAAATTAAGTGTCAGCAAAGGTTTTAGTGAGTGTGATATAAATTCAGTATCAGATGTATGACTGAATGCCTGCAAGTGAACAAATGATCTGACCTGGATGAAACATCTACAAGTCGAGACTCTGCTTTTTCACACGTCTGTTTTGCCTCTTCGAAGGTCTTTGTCTCGGATCCTGCCATGTAACAATAGTACCCATACCTGATCCAGCCCTTTTAATAAAAGATAGTAAATACAGAATATTTAATCGCCTGATGTAAAAAAAAAAAAAAAAAAAAAAAAAAGAAAACTAAATGAAAGACTTTATTGACCCTTCCGCAGGAGTGTGATTGACAGTTGATCTAACACCGATGTTGCAGACATTTTGTCCAGTAGAATTAATATTGTTGAAGTAAAATGAAAAATTGTGAAATTTCCAAATTTACCCCAGACTGACTGGGTAATATGCAAACATTTTCTATGGTTAAAAGAAAAGCCACCTATAAGTCTGCTTTTAAAATTAAAAGCTCTTAAACTGTTACAGTATCTTATGATTTATTTACTATAACTTCACTTTTGAAGTCATTTTACATCCTGAACATATCATTTGTATGGATATTTCAGTCCTTTTTCAACATGTCAATTTTCCTTGACTAATTGACAGTGGAGGTGACATGGCTGGTAGACACCTAGCAAAAAGTGCAAATTTGCAGAGAGTTTAATGTACAAATTTGGACCATTTTCTTAATGTACAATTACATACCTTTTTGCATCCTGGATTTGTGACAACCGTGTCATTATTTGAGGCTTTAGTGCTGGTCTTTCTCTTACAGATGAAGCCATATTTTTTTTCACAAACATCATCAGCCCACTTTCCCTCCTAAACAAGAGACCATCATTATGTTTGTTTCATGCCTGTAGTAAAAACTATACAACTGCAACTTAAAGGAATAGTTCACCCCCAAAAAAATTATTCTGCCATCATTTATCAAATTTTCACTTGTTCCTAAACTATTTGAGTTTCCTTTTTATATAAGGGAAAATATTGCTAACTGCTTGTACACAGTGAGTTACTATAAGAGTCAACCAGCATTCTTCAGTTTTGGTCCAACCGTTTTGAATTGTTTTCCAGTGCTTATGGAACCAATATCCAACCTGACTACAATTTGGCTACTTTTGGATATTGTAAAATATTGGACACCTTTTCGTTAACTCTACAGCAAGCCTTGATGGTTGGCATTATTACAGCTTAAATGGTGATCTTACTTAATTGGAAATCTCCAAAAGCTCCCTATTCTAAGAAATGGTTGAACGAGTTGCTTTTGCCTTGGAACCACTATGTCTTGAAACTTTACAGAAAAAAACTGAAACCACATGGGGACCTTAAAACCAGCTTCAGTCATGTTTATGCTGTGAAACACTATCAAAATGTGCACTGTTAATCATATTAGACTTTTGTTTTCAATATAACGATTTTAAAACTTTTAATTTAGGAAGTTGTTGGCTCTGCATAGGGTATGATTAATTAGAAATCGAGTGTACATAGTTTAACGTTAATAAATGCAGTCTTGAATTCACAAACAGTCTGCAAGAACCAGAGAACAGATGTAACACAGTGATCAAAAGTAGTATTTAGTCACGCTCATGTAAAAGTAATATTTAGCTCGTTTAGTTTTGCCTTCATTCATTTTTGATTTTAGTCTTAACATAAAGCCCGAGTCTTCTATGTTTTTTAAACATAATAGTTTAACTAATTTCTTATAACTACTTTTTTGTCTTTGCCATGGTGACAGTCAGTGCATATTATTTTACTAGTTATGCTGCAAGATAGTTGTATACAGACAAAGTCCCTTTAAGTATTGTACAGTGTTTGATTCAGATTAAAGTGTAATTTAAAGACTTATGTTGGGAAAGTTGGAATAATTAATCAGGTTGTCGTATAACTGGTTTGTTGTGTAGACAATCAAAAAATGCACAGAAATTATTTCTTAAGTAGGCTAATAATACTGACCTTAAATAGTTTTTTTAAAAATTTTTTTAATTAAAAGCTGATTTTATTCAAGAAATAAACTATGAGAAATAAGACTTGTTATGACGCCAGAAGAATTTTTGTTTTATTGGAAATACTGTAAAAAATTACTTGGTTTGTTAAAGATCACTTGGAAAATTAATTAAATAATTAATTCATTAATTGGAAAACATTATTTAAAATTAACGAGAGAGCAAAAAATGACTTCAACTGTACCTGTTAAAGTTTACAGGTGCAAAATGTACATATACATATACAATACAAAGTTACTTGTCAAATAAATTAACATGGAAGAAAATTTTAATTTAAAAGACTGCAGTGATTCATGAAAAAAAATGACTTTGAATAATTGTTTAAGTAGTTTGTGATGTATGTTAAAGTGTGCCCCCTAAAAGTAGAAGTGACCCCTGCTCTAGTCAAACACCACCCCTGCTTAATACTCCTGGGATTTTAGCATTTTAAGTTTGTAAATCTTCAACTTTATCTCTAACCTATATATTTATAACACTGGTTTAGTAAAAATGTAAGTATTGCCATCTCTTGTTTATATGTTTATGCTACTGTACATATGTTAAGTGTATGTTTATACAGTATATATATATATATATTTGGTAACAATCCCTCCTTTTTATGGGGTGGGGGGGTTATAATGTACTATTTTTCTTATTATTATTGGTATTTTACTGTTTTGTTAAATATTTAATAAATGTTAACTAAAACAAGATATTACAAAAAAACAGCATTCTTCAAAATATCTTCTTTTGTGTTCAACTGAAGAAAGAAACTCATACGTTTAGAAACCACATGAGTGAGAGTAAATGATGATGAGATAATTTTAATTTTTGGGTAAACTATCCCTTTAAGATGACTTCCCAAATAATGTCTTACCTCCCCTCTCATTAACACGCAGTCTTCCGCATGCTGAGCACTGTGAGTCGGCTCGCCAACCTCCCATGAGGCAAACGGGACGCTAGACTGGTCACTCCATTCAAACAACATCTGTGTTTTACGGTCATTGAAACCAATCCACAGCTGATCAGTCTTTGCTGAGAACAGTGATGTAGATGATTGACCAATAGCCCTCATGTTTATCTTTCTACAACTGCATTGTCATCTATGTATTTCAGCTAAAAGCGAATCATCAAAACTTACAGTATCCAAGCTGTGTGATGGCAAAGCTTTGCTCTTCTGTGCTGAGAATACTTAGCAGGTCTCCTCCTTCCCGCAGACAGATGTCCCGTGCCTCCAGCCATGTTTGCTTAGTGCGGTGTAGAAGATAACAGTTGCCAGAATGTGGAATCCAGGGGCTTTGGCAAAATCCAGTCGTCACTTCTATCCAAAAAGACAAACACGTCACCAACATTGGTAATGCTTCCATTATTCTTTACAGCAGAAATGTATTCACGCTTGAGTCCATCCCGAGAAATGCTATTATTCTTATCAAACTTGTATTGTGTATTGTGTACTTTTGAGGTAATGTCTTAGAGGTCTGAGGAGGTTCTCGAGGTTATCTGTGAGTTGATTTAGCACACAATTTAACAGACTGATTCAGAAACCTACGTTTTAAAAAAAAACAATTCACTAAAAGAGCCAACCTATAAAAGTCATTTATAAAAATCACACAATACAAATCAAGCTACAGAATATTTTTTTTATTATTATTATTAACCAATATCGATCACTTATTAAAAACAGGACGGAAATGAGCTGCATGTCTTTTGAGTAGTCCTATGATTTTCTCAGAGCAAAATTAAAATGAAATAAAAATAAATAAATAAGCACAAAATATCAGACTTTTCTACATCGGACAATCTTTTTTTTATATTTATATATTTGTATGATCTTTGTATGCCCCTATTGACAGTTAGTGGTGTTATTTGAAGAAAAATCATACAACTTTGTACAGATGACAGTGAATTGCTGCTGTATGGATTAGAAAAGAGGATGGGAAGTCTACCTGGTGGAACAGTAGGAACAGAATGACCTCGTTGGCAGATGTATCCACGTTTTTCAGAGCAAGCATCATTTGACCATTCTGAATTATAGCCATTTTTCAAGACGCCACAATTGTAGCCTGGTTGTGAGCTTGGGAATCCTTCAACAAAAACAAAAATGGTCATGATTAATATGCTCTGATTTTGTAGGGTTGTTATATGATGTGATTATGACTGTCTTTTATTCATGCTACGTTTACATTTCTTTTCTTTTTTTTGTGTGTGAATCAAGCAAGTGTTGTTGGCATTATGCTCTTTTACCACATGAATTTAATAAATTCTTTGTACAACAACAACAACAACAAAAAAAAAAAACAGTCTTACCACTGAGCCATTTCAAATAGCGTAAAGGCTGTCCATTGCTCCACTGCCATCCACTGGACACATCTAACTTGTTCAGTCCTATCCATAGTGAGCCTTGTGACTTCTGAAACATTCCTAAATGACAAGCAGAATACGATTGTGTAAGGTTTTTGCATTTTGGGTATTTTAAGATATCCATTAGTAGTAGTAAATGAAATTGAGCACATTTCTACACCTGTAAGAGTTCACTTCAAAAATGTGTTAACTCTTTCAGCCTCGTTCCAAACTTATAGGACTTTTGTTTATCTTCAGAACACAAATTAAGATATTTTTTATAAATCCTAGGGATTTCTATCTCATTGATAGTCTGTTCATCAAAAATGCAACGAGTTAAATGTATAAGAGAGACCCTTGAGGTAATCTGTGAGTTAATGTACACTGTAAAAAATGCTGGGCTCCACACAATCGATTTGTGTTGGGAATTAAGATAGAATTAATATAGCTAATTAGTTTTTACAAATTTAAGTCGATTGAACATAAAACATTTAAATTGTTCCAAAAATCTCCCAAGAGTTGAGTTGTTTCAGCTCATTTTAAATACAAGCTTGAAGTAGTAGCAAACATATTTTATTTGAGTGTAGTAAAGAATTCATCAGACTGACTCAGACACAAATTTTTTTAATAAATCGGATGGACTTCTATCTTTTCATTGAAAGTCTGTTCATCACAAATATCTATATCCAAAAACATTCATAAATAGACTGTGAAAAATCTATTGATCAAGTTGTTTAATCTTAGTTTTCTAAACAATTCGTTGAAAACGTTTCGATGAAGAGGTTTCAGGGTTGCATATGTGTTTCTTTTATGGAATTAAAACAGCTTGAGGGTGAGCAAATAATTTTCAGATGAAATTTCAAGGAAAATATTTATTCCTTGAAGCACGTTTGGTGTCTATTTCAAAGTTAAACTATACCTTGAAGTACTGTAAAATATTATTTAACTACATGTGCATACTGTATGGTTAGGTTTAGGATTTGCAATTATGAAGTTAGTGTAATTAAGTGTAATTTACTGTTGGTGTTATTATAATTGCGCATGGATTATGTGTAACAGCATCCTGTAAGGACACAACTAAACATTTAACACATGTAGAACTTTTCCATTGAACAATTTATACTTTTTTTTTCAAATATTCACAAAATCTTACTGGATGGTTTTATATGTAGAGAAAAAAAATATGTAATGTTCGCTATTATATCTTTATTCTATCATTTAGGACAGGGGTTCCCAAACTTTTTAGCCCGCGACCCCCAAAATGACAATGCCAGTGGCTCGTGACCCTCAATATTCTCTGAGGTGGTGGTTATAAATACAGAAACCTTGTATGCAATGATGCGCACAAACACACCAGTAGACCTAAGTCTATTCTTTGTTTTTTTTTATGTATGTCAGTGCTGTAAATGGGCTAGAAAGTTTAACCTGGTGTTACAAAATCAGCTGCATTTGACAGTATTGCTGTGTCTTTAGTATAATGTAATTACCAGAGAAGTCGCAATCCAATAGAACTAGTAACTATAAGCTACTATAGTAACTATACAGTTTATAGTAACTATAAACGACTATTTTTTTCTCTTCAGTAGGTTATTGATAAAATACTGTAAGTCTTAAGGTTTAATAAAAATTAATTGATTTTTGAAAACCACCAGGCGACCCCCCTTCATTGTCCCGCGACCCCTCGGGGGGTCCCGACCCCCACTTTGAGAACCTCTGATTTAGGAAGTGTTGACTTTTCATGTTCATTTGATAACTAATAGATTGGCACTGCAAAACACTGTGGAACATTTATTTTTAAGAGAATATTTTGATAATTGCGCATACCTGCTATGAAGGATTGTTCGTGAGGTTCAGATATGCTCAGCAATTCAGCGCCTTGCTGCTGACAGCTCTTTCTAGCCTGGTACCATGTCAGAGTTGACCTATCATTCAGCTGGTAGTAGACGTTTGTTAGAGGATGTTTTGTCCAGTATTTACCTGCAAAAACATAACTACACATCAGTGTGTGCAAGCCGGTGTTTTATGACCAGAATAGATTATAAGTATTAGTTCAGTCTGTTGTGATGGTCACATTATTAGTCTAAGTCCAGGTAACACTTGAAACATTAAATGCAAGAGAAGGAAACCTACTATCACGTGTTGGACAGTATCCCCACTGCTCATATAAACTGTAGTCAGTCTTGGTTGCGCACCACAGACGCTGGTCCGGTTCATCAACTGTGGTACAATCTGCATACCACTTTTTCTCATACAAAAAAGGAAACTTGCATGTCTGCCCAAATCCATTTCCATCAATGCTGTAGATTTCTGTGAAGGAAAAGTTAACTGCTTTCATTTCTTGCTTCTTTTTTCATTTATCATTGCTAAATGCCAAAAATATTAACCCTTGTGCAATCTCACACACATTTTAGCAATTTTTCCATTTCATTTTATTTTTGTGATCATTTTGGCTGTGTTAAAGGTGTCGTGTGTAAGTTCACTCTTCTAAATCATAAAAGTACCATAATTTGCTTGCAGATATTTAAGAAACATGGTAAATGAACATGCATGTTTATCTAAAAAACAATGCCAAATGCCAATGGTTTTGGTTTTGGTTTATGGTTTCAGTATCCATGTTTAACCACAAATAGTTTAGGTCCCACTTTATTTTGATGGTCGTTTTGTTGAATTTAAGTTACATTGCATCTACATGCCAACTAATTCTCATTAGATTATAATTAGAGTGTTTGGTTTGGGGTTAGTGTAAGTTGACATGTACTTGCTAAGTTTCTTATAGTATAATATTAAGCAGACAATCTACTAATACTCAATTGGACAATCAAAATATAGTGTTTCCATAGTTTAATCCAAGTTTATATGATTTTATATTCATATAAATAATGTTCATCTTAATGATAAAAAGGTCAACACCAATAGTTTGATCACTACAGCTAGTGTAAAACTCATTTTCCACTGCAGTCGATAACAGATGAAGGATAATATAGTTCCAGTATCATCTTAACCGTAGACCAATGTTGTAGGACTAATATAGGTCTAATGCAGACAAATTAGGAACCAGCTTAGTAATTGAAATTTTTAAGATTTCTGACAGACGTGTGTTGTTTATTTCAACAGTAGTTTTGGAAACAAAGCCATTGTGACATCATAACCTCCTTGAAAAAAGAACTCCGTCATGTTTATAAATGTGACATAGTTCCTAATGTGAATCCAATATTTGTAAAATTCATTATATAAACAAATGGAAAATTGCTTTTTAAATATATTATAATCATCATATTTTTAAACAGGACTGAATATTTTGGGAATGAAATCTTGAATATGAATTATTGAATTTATAAGTTTGAAAACTTGTTTAAATTATTTTTAAGTTGCAATATTCACAGCTTAAATAAACAGCTATGGACTCAAAAATACAAATCCTGACAATTCAAGTCATTAAAATGCAAGCACTTGCTATTTTTCCAGTACTTTTGGCATTGATTTTGTTCCATATTATTCTCTTAAACAAAACATTTGGTAATTGTTTGCTTCACATGTCAATCAGACAGGATCTTGATAGACAGCCATTGAAAGCTGAGATCAATGATGCCACAACTGAACAGTCAGTATAAACAACGACTGATGACATGCAGTGATTTGTTTTTCCTAAATTAATTTTACTGTGCATGGGGTCTTTTACTTTGTTCCAGTTGTATAAACACAGACAATATGTAGACTGTCGCTGCATCTGAATATATAATAGACAAAAAAAAAAAAAACTGTGAACAAAGTAATGTGCATGAGTTCATAGCATTCATGAAACAAAATAAAAGAAAATTCCCAAATGATTTTTATCTGATGGGCACTATATTGTCTCATGAGTGAGGATTTGTAAACGACAGTGATGTAACTGGTGTCACGGGTCACACATAATAGTGACATCAAGAACTAGTCTGAGCAATTTGCAGTTAAGAATAATTGGTTCTACTTTACTAAATGACACAAAAGTTTATTTATGTAAGTGAGATTAGCAAAATAAGGAAAACTGTGACATGTCATAATTAAAAATCTTCATATGGTGCACTACAAAAATAACAGGAGCTGTAGAAGCTGCTGCAGCAAAATCCAGGCTTGCATGAACCCTGTTGAAAGCAGAAACTACAGGCTGTCTTTGAGGCTGGAGGTGAAAGCATTGATAATTTAAATGTTTTCCTCCTAACAGTTATTTTTGATTGATTTTAATCTGTTAATTAATCATGATAAAAATATACATTTGTTCAGACATCGTTTACTGCAAAGAACTGTTCTTGTCTTATTTTATTACCATTTTCAAAATGGAATAACAGAAAAAGGGCTGTTGAACTATTAGGAAAAAATAATTCAATGAACCAGATGGAATTATTCCTCTTTACTGTGGTTACCACACCTAAAAGCATTGTTCAAATGTTGGATTTCAAGACATTTGTCTGGTTTTTGTCCTCAAAAATGGACTGTGTGTAAGACTACTTTCTAATCTCAAACAATGCTTTAGTTTTGTTTAGATTTTTGACTGTTGTTGGCTGTGAAGTCATTTAAAATGTCTGAAATCATTCAACTGCAAGTCTCTTTGGACAAACGCATCTGCAAAATGACTAAATGTGAACATAACATAGTGATATGGAACTTGAAACTACTTTCACTAGCTGTGTGGTTCCCTGGAAATAATCTAACACCATCAGCCATTAAGAATCAAGCAATGTTTTGTCATGAAATGTTTTGAATTATGAATTATAATTAATATTCCAAATTATTTATTGGTTTGACCGTGTATAATATGTAGAAAGCCCATTTATTGTATTTTTAGTTGTTCAGAAGTGAGTAAAATGGCACTTAGGCGAAAAGTATTCTATTAGCGACAATGCACACTTAAAGCAAGCCTGACTAATGGAAACAAATAAAGGGATGCAGCTAATCTAAATAACTGGCAAATGACTGCGGTATCCATTTAGGACTCAAAATTTGATACAAACAGTAAGGCACATACCTTCATAAGGCCGAGAGCAAATGCTGTCCTGTGTGCCATGAATTGTCCATTTGCTTCTGATTCCAGTCTTATTAGAAATCTCAGGTAAACCCCTAAAATCTACAGCCAGGAACAGAGTCTCATTCTTTAGTCCAAGCAATGTGTTCCCATGGCATTCCCACTTCTGCAGAGCATTGTCATCGTTGCACTTTAAGGGCTGCAGAGTTTTGCCCACCGTTTTACTTCCCACTCCAAGACACGTCTTTGTGAAAGTGTTCAAAATGCGGTTACTTGAAGTCCAGCGGAACTTTTGTTGGGCACTGTGTGGGTCACAGGTGACAAGCCTGTTCAAAGTGCTAGTCAAGCATTTATTAGAGTCCACATTGTATAATAAAAAGCTGTCTCCTGCAAAAGAAATAAAGAATAATGATAGGTTGCAGTAGCTATTCAGATTCTATTCAGCACAGTTATAAAAGGGAAACAAACTGTTAAAATATGCAGCAATTCATGCTGTTTGCAGTGGCAAAAATGAAAATATTATTATTGTCATAGGGTTTTAAGCTTAAATAAAGTAAAAGAAAACACACCTGATTGTGCAAAGCAGTTTGACAGCTCCAATACAAGCAAAACGACCACGGTAATTATTTTCATCTTGATTCTAAATGTAATCCTAAATGCAAAGTGCTGCTCTTTTATGCATTATCCTCTGCCTTTTGGCTGAGCTTCTGCAGACTCATGTTTGCTCATGCTACCCTGCTCCTTAAATGGGTCCGAATTACATCCTGTCACATGTCTGCTTCATCAGAACTGTTGAAACACAAATGTCGCAGGGCTTCTTCGGAAAAGGCGATGGAGCTTTCTCAATTATTAAAATAATTTGTCAGCATAATTCTGCAAGTTCTCGCTTGGAGGTTAGTTTTGCTGGTGGTTATTTGAGGAACATATTCTAGATCCTTTAGATGCTTTACAGTAATAATTCGTCACAGAATATTATGCGCTCTAGAAACCAACGCTTCCAAGAAAAAACATGTTTGCTTTTTTATTTAAAATTGCCTTTATCCAGAGTTATTTACAAATTAGGATAAAAGAAGCGCCATATTATTATTATTATTTTTTTCATTTGGGTCTCCAAAGAGCCTTACAGATCTCAAATTAATATGTTTTCCGGAGTGTGAAGTATATTTTATATGCTGAATAATCCATTTCATAATTAAGATTCTATGATTGTCAAAGATTCCATCAATGCCAGTAAAGTACCGTTATTTTCAAGAGTGTGTAGTAATTTCACCTCCTAAATCATCGAGACATTCCCTCTTCCCAGCACTGGTTTTGCTCTGTCAGCATACACAACAATAGCAGTACGGAGAGGAAAAAAATGAATTACACTTAATTTATGAGTGCTTTGCTTTCCTGTTATGCCTTGTACTCATGTGCAGCACATCCTGTGTTAAAACCTGTGGTGACAGTAATTTAACACATGCTAAAAATGTTGGAATACGTTTAAAAGTCATGTTTGCTTCTGTTCAGTCTGTTTCGGTTCATTTTGAATGTGTTTTAAATGAGCAATTATTTAAGGTCTTTCTAATATAAGCTGTCAGATGTCTAGAAAAATGTAATAGGAAAGTCATGATATGGCCAACTGTGGTGTACAAGTATTAGCAGCATTAGTAAAACCATAACCAATAAAATAAGTAATGTATAGACCTATACCTGCACTCCTGAAAGTACCACACCTGCTACACATTCAGAAGAAAAGGTCAGAAACAGCGATACTCATTTTTGAACAAAAACTATAAAGAACAACATGAGAGATCTAGAAAAATCATATTTATGATAATCATGATGGCATGGTGAAGGTGGTGTTAAGAGTACGAGATACTGAATAAGACTGGGGATTGAAATTAGTGAGCAGTGTTGGGCATAGTTACTTTTGAAAGTAATGCATTACAATATTGAGTTACTCCCCTAATAAAGTAACTAGTTGTGTTACTTTAGTTATTTTTTATGGTAAGTAATGCATTATGTTACTTTTGCGTTACAGTTTCTTTCCTGGCTGTGGCTTGATCTCTTTCAAAACTTGCAGGGTTTTTTTTCTTCTTTTTTAATAGAGCAGCTCTGTAATTTACAACCACAATAAACAATTCATTTACCTAGGCCCTGGCCTGCCATCTTGTTTTTGTCTGTTCCTGTGAGAAGCAGATTCTCTCATTGAGTTTCGTGATTCAATGTGACTACGTTCATTCAATTCAGCAATTTATTTATTAAAAGCTAAAAAGCTAAAAGTGGCGACACGGTGGCTCAGTGGTTAGCACTGTTGCCTCACACCCAGAAGGTCGCTAGTTCAAGTCCCAGCTAGACATTTCTGTGTGGAGTTTGCATATTCTCCCTGTGTTAGTGTGGGTTTCCTTCGGGTGCTCTGGTTTCCCGCACAGTTCAAAGACATGCGATACAGGTTTATTGAAAAAGCTAAATTGGTCGTAGTGTATGAGAGCGTGTGTGAAAGTGAGTGTATGAGTGTTTCCCAGTTTCAGCTGGAAGAGCATCCGCTGTGTAAAACATATGCCTGATAAGTTGTAGTTCCATTCCTCGGGCGACTCCCGATGAATAAAGAGACTACATTGAAAAGAAAATGAATAAAAAAGCTAAAAACTAGTTACTTTTTTAAAAAAGTAACTCAATTAATGTTACTTAATTTCTAAAAGTAATGCGTTCCTTTACTCATACTAAAAGTAATATTATTATTTAAATCACATTGCTTGTAATGCGTCACCCCAACACTGTTAAAGACTATTGCTTTTAGAAACATGATTTTCTTCCTTACTGCTTTGATAATAGGATAGTTTACCCAAAACTAAAATTGTGTTGTCATTTACTCATCCTTTATTTATCCAAACCTTCTGGTTTTTCTGTTGAACACAAAAAGTATATATTTTGAGAAAAGCTGGAAACGTGTAACCATTTACTTCCATTGTTTTTGTGGATTACATTTTCAGCTTTTTTTCAAATGATCTTCTTTTGTGTTAAACAGAAGAAAGAAAGTTTGAAAAGTTTGAAACCACTGTAGAGTACATTTTAAAAAAAACAAATCAAGGGCATACTGTCCATTTAAATCAAGACATTTACTTAGAAGTCTTTTTTTCTTGACGTCGCCAAATCAAAATGTACTATTCTTATTTTTTATGTTATTATTATTGTTGAGAATGATGCAACTGTGCACTTTATTTCAAATTTAATTTGGCATCATTTCATTTTCTTTTTCGTTTAGTCTCTTTATTAATCTGGGTTCACCACAGCGGAATGAACTGCCAACTTTTCCAGCATATGTTTTACGCAGCAGATGCCCTTCCAGCTGCAACACATCACTGGGAAACATCCATACACAGTCATTCACACTCATACACTTTGGACAATTTAGCTTACCCAATTCACCTGTACCGCATGTCTTTGCATTTGAGGAGGAAACTGGAGCACCCGGAAGAAACCCACGTAAACAGGGGGAGAACATACAATCTCCAGACAGAAATGCCAACTGACCCAGCCGAGGCTTGAACCAGCGACCTTCTTGCGCCACTGTGATGTCTTAATTTGCCCTCATGAACTTTAATTAAACACCATAACCTTTACTCCCCCTCGAAACTACTTTCATCACTTCCTGTCACATAGAATTCCTTTAGGTCAGGCATATTAATGGAAGTCTTGTTTCTGCCTGGAATTCGTCCATTCATCAATCTTTCTTCATTTTGTTAGCAATTAATAACTTTTCATGTTCCCAAGAAACAAAGCCATGCATTGCTGGACTGATCAAAATGAAGTGAGGAGGCAGTGTGATGGATAAGTGGTTAGCACTGTCGCCTCACAACAAGAAGGTCACTGAATCGAGTCCTGACTGGGCCAGTTGGCATTTCTGTGTGGAGTTTGACTCCCTGTGGATTTCCTCTGGGTGCTTTGGTTTCCCCCACAGTCCAAGACATGCAGTATAGATAAATTGGATAAACTAAATTGACCGTAGTGTATCTGTGTGTGTGATTGTAAGCCTTTGTGGGTGTTTCCCAGTGCTGGATTGCAGGTAGAAGGGCATCCGTTGCATTAATCATATGCCAAAGCAATTGGCGGTTCATTCCACTGTGGCAACCCGGGACTGAGCCGAACGATAGAGAATGAGTCAAGTGAGGATCTTATCAGTGATTGGAACTGGAACTCCAAAAAAGATGTGATGCATCACACAGCTAACTGAACATAATGTTGTTGTCAGTTCTGGTAGTTGACATTGTGTAACAACCTTACATCTTCCCACTTCTCTTTCTTCCTATAATGCTCTTTCTCATGCAGATCTGATTCTTACATTTCATTTGTGATTTTATTACTGAAACATCTTATTGTAATTAAATATCACACAAGATAAAATTAACATGCATAAATTAGTCATCTTCAAGTTATTCAAACCTTGTATAAATGAGTTTTTATGGGGTTGGGGGGAGGGGTGTTGGTGCAGCACTGAAACTTTTATTGAATAGCCAAAAAACAAACAAAAATCTCTTTTATTATTTTTTAAAGTATATTACTTTGAATAAAGATTATTATAGGATATATTAGAACTTTTAAAATGGCAAAATAAGTGAAGTTTATTTTTAAACTAATTTCGAGAGGATCACATGCTTATGACTGCTTGCGGCTGTTTACGCATTATCCAATTCATGATTCACCAATCAGACAATTTCTAAGCCGCTATAAGTACCCTAACTTCCATATAACAGCCATCTTCATTTTGAAGAATCCCCCCTTTCACCCCTACTCCTCCTCCTTTCCTAGATGGGTGACACGGTGGCCCAGTGGTTAACAATTTTGCCTGACAGCAATAACGTCACTGGTTCTATTCATTACCAAGCCAGTCGACATTTCTGTACAGAGTTTACACATTCTCCCGTACTCACGTGGGTTTTCCCAGGGTTCCCTGGGTTCCTCCCACCATCCAAAAACATGCAACTTAAGTTAATTGACTTTTTCAAATCTGCACCATCGACATGCTCCTAGTAAGTAGTTATCTCTTAAGAGCAATCACTGTCTGTTCATTAGCTACTAGCTGGGGAGTTCTCGAGATCTACCTGACCTTAACCTCCCCTCTCGCCTTGCAAACGGGAGGGAGCCCCGGGCTCGAGGATCTTATGAGCTCAGGGCTCTCTCCCAGGACAGCATGCCAAACACGCTTTAGAATCAATCTTCAGTTCAGTGTGAACTCTTGAAACATGTTTTTAAATTAAAAGCATCTAGTGGTTGGTCAGGGACAGATTCTGACCCAAAGATATTGAGAATATTGTATCCAACTTTTTTGTACATCTATTATAAGAATGTACAGATTTTAAGGGGGGGGGGGGGGATCACTGAATATCACCAGATTTGCAGTTCATTTGATCTGGTAACCACTCATCATCAGAGAAGGATGTTTATTATTTATATAATGATTCATTAAATGAACAATTCAAAAAGGTCATTGGTTTATAAATCGGTAGTGCAAACTACACATCTGATCATCACACATTTAGCTCATTGACTTTGATTCCATGTCAAAACTCTGACCTATTTACTTTTCTAGAGATTTGTCTTATTAGTTAAGAATTGCAAAACCAAATGAATAATATCAGCATGGTGGTGGGAACATGTTATGCGAGGCTTTCTTGAAAATACAAATATTTAAAAATCTGATTATAGGACCTTTAATCTAACGTTGTGTTATTTGA